GGTAGGATTAGGCTCGTAGGAGACAACAGCTGGGTTGGAATCATTGAGAACAAGCACAGCTGACCGGACAGGTCCTGGAAACATGGGACACGGGTGTGCCCAGTGACGGTCGGACCCAAGGAGCTCCTCAAAAGTGTAAAGGGGGCCAGGGCGGCGCCCTCCACGCTGAAAAGTGAGCAGGCCCCCGTTTTCAGGTTCGATGATCCTGTCGTTCGGCAGAAGCCTGTCAGCTGAAAAGATGCACAGCCCTGGCTCATCAACAATCTCAACGGCTGCAAGAAGAGAGGTTCTGGAAAGCTGGGCCGGTACAACGATGCTGAAAAGGCGGCCATCAAAATGCCGGAGGTCAACAAGCACATGGCAGCGGGCGGCTGCCCATTCTGGCAAGGACAAGATACACGCAAAGCGGTTGTCTGGCTGAGGTTCGACCGGCAAGAGTGCATCAAAGTACAAGGACTGATCTTCATTCCTGGCATCCTGTATCTCATTAAGTGCGTCCTCAGGATCGCAAGGTGCCCGCATGACCAAGGGTAGCACCTCAGCCCGGTACCGGGGCGCAAAAACAAGAAAGTGGCCATGGAGGAAGACAGGGGGAGGTGCCCCCTGGGGCTTAGGCCTAGTATAAGTGGTATGAGGCGGGACGTGGGCTTCTTCATCATGGCGAGCGGGAGGAATGACTGGGCGATGCTCATCAATTGCCCGCTGCCAAGGAACTCCCTGGCAACCACCTGGCGCTTGGTACGGGTTGCGCATGCTAATAGCAGCATCACTGACGCTGGGGTCCTGGCCAGACTCACCAGATACAGACAGGGTGGAAGGTTCAAATTCAACCTTAAGAACACCTCCATTGTAAACCCTGAATACAGAGCCACTTTTTGGGAGACCACTGAAAACCGGCCTATAACCTCGAGGGAGGCGGTGCTCTAAAAGTTGTTGGAGGTCTGTCTCCTCAACTTGACAATCTCTGACATAGCGGAAGGTGGGCTTACCTCCAATAGGTCTGCAATCAAGGAAGAGGATAGCGCCTGGATCTGCATCGCCATGTTCAGTGATGGAGCCTTGGCGGGCTGCGATAACACCTGCAAGAAGAACACCTTGGTGCACAAAGGGGTGGAATGTTGCCTTGTCAGGTTTGCAGAGCGTAAGGCGGTCTCGTTTGCAGTGCAACGCGCTGGCTGCATGAGACTCAAGGGTCTCCTCAGAACTGGCGGGGTGGACAATGTCCCGATCAATGTTCGGTGCAAGGACAAGAAGAGAATCCGAGACCTCCTCGCTGACAATCTGTCGGATCTCAGCTGTCAAGAAATCAAGATTGCTGAGGCAGTCGGCCGAGGGTGGATACCAGTGCGGTCTGTCATAGACAGCAACAAACTTCAAAGTGTCGCCTGTGACTACCCGTATGGCCTGGTCAGAACGCAGAGGGTCCGGACGCCCAGTTTGAAAAGCATCCCAGGGGGATATGGTATGGCGATTGGCATGTTCCAGGACCTGGGCATGTGAAAGGTTCCGTTCGACAACTGCGGCATAGACAGGCCCTCCAACTGCGGAGAAGTCAAAGACAATCTCTGCACATGAGGATTGTTCTAGCCACTGTGGCACAAGAAGAAGCGAGACATAGCCCTCCTCTGGCTGAGGTTCAACAAAATCTAAGTCAGACGCGAAGAAGATCCTTCGCGGGCTGAGCTCGGCAACAACTTGTTGCAGGAAAGTCTCTGGAGTGGCTGGCACCTTGACAGACACTTGCACAGCTTGAGTAGGGTATCCTGGAGAGAACAGGACACACTGAACCTTGATGACAGAATGAGCTGTGGCATCTTCAGCAGGAGGAGCCTGCCTTTCATCGATATGGCTTGCAGTATCCCTAGTCTGTGCTTGGGGGCCCGAGGGAAAAGGGTCAGGACGGCTGGCAGAGTCACTTTGTGCGGCAGCCCCGAGGTCATGTTCACAGGGCAAAGCGTCATCGCAAGCTCCATGCAGCCTAAGTGGCATGGCTCCAATGCACACAGGGCAGTTGAGCATCGCTAGCAGCCAAATAGCGAGCCTACTCCCGATTGGGAGTGCACCTGTGAAGCGTCTATGCTGACAACCCTTTTGTCCTTTACGTGCTGTATAGGCGCGGAGGCTGTCAGAAGACTGGCATGGGGAGAATGCTCTGAAACACAGGAGTATTCTGGTCGTTACTCCCTTGCATGGCAACCCAAGAAATCTTCCAAGGGGCTGACTTTTATCGGGAATTTGTTGCCAGAGGCACAGGTAGAGCGCAAGCGCGAAGGTGAAGAGGATGGCCCGACACAGAGGCAAGAGAAAGTTGCCAACAGCGAGTAGCCAGCCGAGGATTCTATCCCCCTGGGAGGAGGATGAGGCATACAACCCAGTGGGTGGGGGCCTAAACCCAAGAGGTCTATGGGGTTGAGTGTGACTAACCAGTTCCCCGGCGGACGCCCCAGAACCACCGATACGTCTCTTAGGTGCTCGGGTAAACTGGTCATCTGTAGAGATGGTCCGAAGAACGGAACACTCTGGAGAAGCAGTGGAAGAAGTGTAGAAGGTCGGAGCCCTGGGGGTCGGGACGAGAAGAAAAGGTGGAGTGCAGCCATAAAGACAGGCGCTTGATCTCCAGCACAGTTCATCAACGACGAAGAAAACAGAAAGGGCAGGCGACTTCCAGAAGACTGAAGGTATTGAGAGGGTCCAAAAGCGCGCCAAAGGACCCGGCGTGGGGACACCAGAAGAGGTGAAAGACAAACACCCTTCCAGCCTCCACGAGGAGGAAAAGGGCCCAATGCCACCGACATCAAACAATCCCAGAGAGATGCCAGATGGAAAAGGGTCCCGCGAGGAAGTCTCAAAAACCCGCGGGACGGTGCAGGAACCCCTTGAGGATATTGACACTGCTGGCAAGGCCCCCCGGCACAGATCAAAAGCCCAATGATCGTGCAAGGAAGCAGAGGAGACAAGGTCGAAGGGTGCAGGGCATCCATGGAAGCGAAGGAGCCTGTACCAATCGGACCTGGCGAAGGTGACGAAGAATGGGCCGATGCCCTGCAGGTGGCTGGCTCTCATTCGTAGGTCATAGCTATGCCTCGAACCGCAGACGTTGCAGCTCCAAAGGCTCACACTATGTACATCCCTAAAGTGAGACCGGATGTATCGACAGTAATCCATGTCAAAGACATCTGTCAACAAGCCTTGCCCACAGGGAACCTGCCAAGGAGGGGTCAGCCCCACAGACGCCTCCTGGTTTTGCCCCTCTAGGCGGCATAGCCGACAGAGTCGATGACACCGATCGCTGGATACATCCCTATCTTCATTGCATAGTGCGGGTATCACGCTTCGTCTTGTCCGGCCTGTCGCGACCTGTTCTGCAGTGCTGCAAGCTCCTCCGGAGAGAGGGCCTGAGATGGATCTTCGCTCTCCGAGTCGTCGTCCAGAAGATTGCTGGGAGGCGCCGGGACCACAGGTTCCCCCTCCGGCACCGGCTGATGGGTGCCCAGTCCAAAGGGTGTCATAGCCCTCCTCGCCTGGAGCTTTTGCTCCAGACTGCTGTGCACCGCTGCCGTAGGCGGCGCAAGTTTCGTTGCATCCTTGATGCCCTTGCGATGCTCCGACTTGCCGCGGTCGCGCTGGCCAGGATGCAGAGGAGACGTGCGCTCCAGTCCCGGTGGAGCCGTTGTCAAGACACCAGCAGACGCTGAAAGACCATTCGGCGCCGGGGAGGCCATAGCATATGGATCGCTCACTGCCTGCAAAGGAGGGGCCGAGTAGGAGGGGTCCACCGCACTGCCAAACATCATCGCCGGTGAGCGTGGTTCCCTTCGGCCAGTGCGGACAGGGGTCACCTGCGGAGCACTTGTCGATCCCAAGGCCCGGGAAAGGATGCCCTGGTAGTCGGCGGCACCCTCCTGTTCGGCCATCCACTGGGCGAACATGCTGTCCACTTCCGCATCCTCCTCCATGGCGGCCGGTGCAGCTGATGGTTCCTCTCCAAGGTGAAAAGTCCTCACCCTGCCACGGGCGACCTCCAGCTGCGCCTCGGCCTCCTGTTGTTCTTTGGCCAGCTTCTGCATGCGGCTCAGAAAGCGACTTTTCTCCTTCGTCAGGGCCGCCTTCATAGCCTTCTGGTAATCCTCCCACAAAGCCTGGGTGTGAGCTTGGTTCTTGACCACCCGCTCGACCCTTTGCTCGGTTTTCCGGAAGAAGGTCAAGGCATCCTGTAAGCCGCCAAAAACACCAGGTGCCTGCGGGGCCGGCTCCTCGTGACCTTTCTGGGAGCCCTTGGATCCGGAGGCAGTCGAGACCGAGTCGAAAGAGGGGAAGGCAGGCGCCGGCCGAGGTGTCTGCGGGTACTGCCAGGGCTGCTGCTTCCAGCCCTTCGGTGACACATAAGCAGAACCACGCCACAAAGTATAGCCCTGCTTGTTGTAGTCGTCGTCCCTCCATTGTGGCTTCCCTCCGCGACCCATACGGTGCAGTAGGGCTTGCTGCCAGGGTGAGGTGGCGTGATGTCCGGCCAACCTCTGTCGCTGGACCTCAGTGAGAGGCCTGCCCTTCCGAAGGGCTCTCCGGGCCGCTGCTCTGTTCCGTCTCAGAGCCCGATGCCAGGAAGGAGATCGAGGTAGCGCTATCGCGGCACACTACCCGAGAAAACGCACCGTCAAGGGTGCTGGGGGCTACACGACCAGCTCGCTATTGAGCGCTTCGGGCCCCTCAACAGAACACAACACAACACACACATCTTCATTCCTTTGTGGCCTCCCATTCGGATCACCTTTTCCATCAGCAACAAGAAACACGGAATCGAGATCGAATGGCGGCATTTGGCAGGTCAACGGGATTGGAAACTGGGAGTGGGTATCCACGTCACGACTCGATTTGTCTGAAGCCGCCGTCGCCTGATTCATTGTTCGCACAGCTGTCTGCAGAAATATCGAAGCACTGTGATGTCGCAGGAACTTCAGATTATGCTACTGAGGCATGCAAAAGTCTCGTCAATTCTCGTCCTGTGCCAGAGTCGTAGGAGAGGTTGACAGGACCTCCACGCACAAAAGCAGGTACCGTTTTGCCTCCCCATGCCTTTGCGATACCAAAACCGAAGTGCATGCTGGCTATGTCAGCAAATTCGAAGGGGGCGCAGCCTTTTGTTCCTTTCTCAAGCCCACGGCTCCTTCGAGGTAATATGAGGTAATTCGAAATTCTATGATGGGCGCAACATGGCCACTCACTTCTCCTGGCGTATTGAGCTTTCTCATTGCTCGCGAAGCTTCGGAGCACAGCCGCTTGGCGTCCGACCTGGCGAAGGGCACGAAAACGAAAGTCTGAACAAGTCAGGTGGCGCTCTGATATGAATGATGGTATTTTTCTTATGGAGACATGAGACTTACATGTTGTGGAGCTGCTTGGAAACCTCGCTGACGGAGATGCTTGGATGCAACTGAAGGTTTCCTTTTCTGTTCCCGAGGCTTCCAAGCTTCGCAAAGCTTGGCAGACTTCAAAAGGCCGCAAGGGTGTCTTTAGGGCCAGGGCTTTTGCAGATCCAGCGCAGCTATGAGATACTCAAGGCAGTCGACCACCTTGCAGCTTGGCAAGCTTCTTAGATGAAATCGCAAGCACACGGACCTCCTGCACCGAGCAAGCGCCCATCTCGTCGCACCTCGGGTCATGTGGTAGAAGTCACTCCTCCCTATTGATTACCGGCAGCCAGAAAGGCCCAAGCCATCTGAGGACGGACGACTCCAAGTGTTGCAACCTCAGAGACACTTGGGCTCACGTGGGAACCCACAACAGCCGCCTGCCGCGCCCGTTGCCCCCGCGCCCGCTTGCTGCCCTGCCCGTGTTGTCCCAGTGTTTTGATTGCGGATGTGTTGCAGCGCTGCAGCGGCTGCGCACAGGAAGCCAAGGATTCGTGATAGTTCTGACCGTCTGAAGGCAAGTCCCATCCAACATTATCGGGGTCAGCAGTCTGCGCACAAGGAAATTGAGGTGGCCAGCTTCTTGCAGTGTCGTCATTGAGGATCCAGCTTCATCTCGGCCAACCAGTGGCGCAGGCTCTTTGCAACAGCTTGCAAGTGAGTAGGAACCTGCAGCAGCCGGTACCAGTAATTGTCATCCGGGACCTCTTTGGAATATAGTGGTGTGTGTAGAGTGCGCTCCATGCACATTGCACACCTCCGGGCAAAGAGTGGTCGTTACAAGTATCCGGATGCAGCGGAAATCACGAGGCACTCTGATGCATGCGCCTCGTCGTCCGTCTCTGCTGAAGCCACACTGCTCGCTGCTCGACGAACCTTGGCAAGGCCAGTTGGAAGCACGTGACACAGTCTGCGAGTCTGCGTTTCTCAAGCCAGCGGGGTGTAAGTTGAGCCATTCGTTGGCGGGCACTGCGGTTCCCATTGGTGCTTGAACCAACGCCTTGGACTGAGCAGCATTGGAAGCGCCGGGGCTACTTCAGGCTTCAACTCAAACCCATCAATCTCAAGCATTCTCAAGCAAAAGCTTACAAACGGCCCCTTCTACAATCGAAGTCGATCAGGAACTGACTGCTGCCTTTGGCCGGCGGAGATGAAGCTCTCTGAAGGGGATTCTGGAAGAGGAAGCACGAGGCTCGCTGCTGCTTCGCGTAACCAGCACCCTCTCCACAGTCACTGCCCGCGACTGGTCGCCCAATGCAAGACTCGGAAACGGCCCACAGAAATTTCTCCCGGTCTCCAAGCATGCGGCTTCCTCCTGTTCCTCGGATATCAAAGATGTGGCGCTCGTTGCAGTCTTGATCGCCTCGCGTTGGCAAACATATGGTCGACAGTAGAAGAGCAGTATTCTTGCATTACGGCCTCATCTGACTCTGATACCCGCCAATCTGGCTTCCTTTCCTGCATTTTGCAGGCGCTTGTTCCCCAGCATGTTAGCAGCCCTTCGGACATCCTTCCGGAACGTCACGTGGAGCGGAAAGTCTCTTTGAATCGGAACGAAATCTTTGTCGAAGAAAACTGGAATCAGCTCTCCGTGGCGATTGAACACCCGGCAATCCTGCATTCGTGGATCACTATGAGTGTGCAACTACAAGAACAAGACGGCTTTGTATAGTCGCGTCGACACACTCTCTCGTTGCTCCTCTGGTTTGCAGTCTTCTTCTCGAAGCAAGTTTCGAAGCAGCGTGGACCAGGAGTCAGTGAAGTCGATCTTCACAGCCTCTGGCGGCTCCGGCGGCTGTGGCAAAAATGCGGCAAAAAAGCGTTGCTTTCCTTCTGAGTTCGCCGCCGTCGCCGCTCCGCTCTCCTTCCGAGCCTCGCTGGCTCGCCCGGCTCCGGAACTGCTCCGCCTGCGCGGGCACCGCGGGCGCTCGTCGATTCGACGAAGTTCGACCGAGATGTCCTTGTCGTCCTCTCCCATCTTCCTTGCAGCTTGCCATTGCACATGGTCTACTGAGCATGCTTCAGCGGTCCTCCACGGTGGTTCTGCTCCTCGATCTCATCCGTGGAACAGCTGCCTGTGATCACGGTTCGACCGTCCGGTGCAAGTGCAAGGAAACGCAAGGGCCTCCAGGAGTGTCAGGGACAGGGCCGCCATCTGCATCTGCGATTGAATCTGGCGCTGGGTGGTTCTCCTCCTCGCCTCCGGATTTTCGATGCAGGCCCACGGCCAGCAACATCTAAATTGAGATTGATCCCTGTGAGTCCGATTCCAAAACTTCGTCAAGCAGCCTTAGACATTGCAGTAGCCATCAGGCAGCCCTCAGCGCTGGGCACCGGTGCCACGCTCGTGCGAGCGCGACGTTCGTGCCATTGAAAATCGCAAGCTCATCATCGTCACGTCGTCACCATCATCGCCATCGGATTCTGCTACGGGGGAGGCTTAAACGTGCCGGCCTCGTCGGGTTCGAGAGGCCCAGGCATCGGAGAGTTTGGGCCTCGGATGCCACTGTGCCTTCTGCCGCATGGGCTCGTGACTGCATGTGTGGTGAAAGCTAGCCGCGGAAGAATGCCTGAGTGCTTGCTCGGTATGTCATGCGCGCCCATCGCAGTGCTACATGGCTCGGGTGAAGTCTCCACAGTAAGGTTGGCAAGGCTAGCCACCCTCCTACCTTGTTACAACCGGTGGCAGGCCGAAGAATTGGTTGGCTAGGCGGGGGGGGAACAATTCAGCAAAGAAGCCTTGGTGCAGCCTTGCTGGCTGGGATGTCTCCCAAAGAGAAGGGAGGCCTCAACCTCGGAATGCCGTTGCATCATGTTGCTTTGCCATGCCAGCGTGTGACCACAGACTGCTAGGTCTAGCTGCCGCAGCTTTACAACCATTAGCGCCGCAACGGCAATAACATCACCCCAACTGCCCTGCTGCTGCTGCTGCTGCTGCTGCTGCTGCTACCACCATCACGGCTACAAATGACGAGACCACTCCTCCTCCTCCTTCCTCTCCAACTCCTGTCAATCACTGCTCCTAACCCTGCCAACCAATAAATCAGGTCTCAATCCTTTAGTCAATGAATTACGCGACCCAGCGACCGACCGACCGAGCAATCAATCAATCAATCCATGCATCCATGCATCCATGCATTCATGCATCCATGCATCCATGCATCCATGCATCCATGCATCCATCCATCCATCCGTCCGTCCGTCCGTCCGTCCATCCATCCATCCATCCATCAACCAACACATATGTATCTGTCCATATCTCTCTTCGTCCATGTCTTTGCCTGTATGCTGCTATGTCTCATATTGGATGTCTCTGTCTACCTACACCTGTACGGTAGCTCCTATACCTGTATCTCGGATCGCCATCCGTTCCTGCAACATCCATGTCTATCAATCTTTGTCTCTCTCTGTCTCTCTCCCATCGAGGAAACACGGTGTAGCGAAGACTCCCTGTATGGCACTGCATCTGTAGACGCCAGCCCTCGACCGCACATAGACTGCTCTCGAAAGTCGAGTCTACTCCTCAGTCCAACCCCTCGCGTGGCTTCTCCTGCACCTAATATCCAATTTCTACGCCTTCCTGTCGCAACTAGTAACTGCTGACCTATCTTCTGCAGCTCTTAACGTCTGATCTTGCGGCGCGCCATATGTTGCCCCGTCTTAACTGAATCAGCCTGGGCTTCGGCAAGGACGGCGGAGCACCTGTGCCACTGCTTCGAACCAGTGATGTTGACGACAGTGACTGGGAAGCGACAGCCGGCAAAACCAGATTCATCCGGCCAGTTTCCAAGGCACAGAGCATGCCGTGCCTTGCGACCAGGCCGTTTTCGGCCGCATAGCGCAGGACAAATGCACAACTATGTACAACTCCAAGGATTGTCGGTTGTAAGTGCTTTTGAAGAAGGCAGAGTTCTGTAGGAGCTGGAGAGCAGGCTTGGAATTCCCATGTCGGACCTCCTGTTATCGTGCACTCACGGCAGCAAGAAGGATCAAAGCCTCGACAGCTCCGAGGATTGCCCTCTCCCGTTTTCCGGAAGCTGTGCGGAGTGCTCAGCATGCACTGCTTTTCGATGCAAAGCTGTGTGCCTTCGCACAGTCAGGAGCGGAAGAACTGAGCCTCGAAAGTTGGCACTAAAGGCTGCAAACTGCAAAGGGTTCGGATTCCAATGCTGAGCACATGACCAAGAAGTATTCAATTCCGTATAGAAGCGCAATCAATCCCACAACTGTCAGAGGACCGACGGTCACCTGGTACAGTATCTCTCACAGATTCTTCGCTGTGACAGGCCAGGGCCCGCGCTGGAACTTCTTCACTCCAATAATCCCCGAACCAGAATTCGTGCCACTCCTGCAATGCCGAAATGGTGTTCTAATAGGGCATGCTTGCCGAAGCATCCTTCGAGATCTTGTCTAGCACGCGGCGAAGCGCGGTTTGCAAACCTGATGGCGCCTGTCGTACGACTGCTTTGGATCTTGCGGTGGTGGTTCTGCATGCGAATAAAGCCAAGAAAACACCACGCCTCCCGCTCATTCTCGGACTCGTCTTCTACGGCCATCACCTGACTTGTGCGATACTCAGGAAGATTCGTTGTGGAGGTGATGAAAACCTTGTCGCGAGCGAGGTCTGCACGCTCCGCTTTCCATGGTGCCTTCCCCGAAAGCCGCGGAGTCCATGGACTGCGGTTGCCTCTGCATCCACAGTCTCGGGACTGTCGCTGGCGGGACAAGTCGCAATCATAAGCATAGAACTGAGAAGCGGGCAGTCATTGCAGCAATCGATGCGCAAGGTAAATGTGGACTTGCTCCTCTTTGGGAACCTGGCATCTGGGCACTTAGACCCCACAGGTTGAGGAATGTATCAATTCCGCAACACCTAGGAACAACTTGAGCAGCACTGCTGGCTACGAGAGGAGCTCCTAGACTGGCGGACAAGGACGTCGCGCATTGAATGAAACTCATGAAAGCATACTCGGGCAACATTTTCAGAGCAATGAGGATTGCTACCATGCCTGCTCGGGGTGCGGGTACTTTGCCGCGGGGCCCTGCTTCTGCCCATGTCCATTGAAAGCCCGCCTGAGGATGCATCATGGCAGTTGTATGCAGAAGCATGCCTCTCAGTTCAGTGGTTAGTTTCGTGCTTTCCCTGTACTGCCCCTGATTTTTCGGCAGCTTCTGTCAGGTGACCGGGTGTGCTACTGTTCATACAGTTGTCTGCTATGATGTGCTCGTCCCACTCCGACTGCTACAGAGACATGTTTGACCATTACCCACTTTACGAATTGAATATGAGAGCTCGACGCAACGCTTTTGGACTCAAGCGGCCTGGGACGGCGTGTGCCGCGCGCGAGAGCAGCTCTCCATTAGGACAAAGGCTCGCGTTTGCAGCGCTTGCAATGGACCTTCGTGACTTTAAAACTTGTCTGGTCGTGTGCACTTCCTCCTAAACTACAATTTGCTTTGCTATACGGTCATGTGTCTCGTGCGTGAGCAATGTACGGATTGCGATGCGCATGTCTGGAAATCGCTTGCCCTTCTTGCTCTACACCCGTCCAACGCTTGAAGAATCGTCCGTCCGTCCCTCCCGTCCCAAAGGTCCGTCCGTCCGTCGCCCGTTCGTTCGTCTGTCCGAACGAACGCGGGCGAGGTTTGCGCGTCAACGAACGCTTTAGAGGAATGGGCCGGAGCCCCTCTTTTCCAGCAAATTGCCCAGGGCGCCAGCTGGGCTGGCGAACCCTAAACCCAAATCGCTTTTGGCTGTGTTAGCAATAGTAAAGGCGCCCCAGTTTAAGTAAATTGATGACTCGGACTCCCTATACAAGCGTGAGGGGATCTAAAAGTGCAAATGTAGGGAAGCTATTTGAAGAGGGGATTTATGGAATTTCTCCATGTGGAAGCAAACTATATGGGCATTCGGAAATAATTTAAGTAAATTGATGATTTTTGGACCGTCTTGAGAAGGCCTGCAAACTATGTGGGCATTCGGAAATAGTTTAAGTAAATTGATGATTTTTGGACCGTTTTGAGAAGGCCTTGCAGCCGTCCACATCCTTGACCTCCTTGGATATCGGACATGGATCACAAAGAAATCCCCCTCGAGATGGATCCGATGCATTCAAAATAAGATGTGGCCCCGAAGCGGAAGTGGTGGTTGATGTAGTCTGAGGATTGGAGCCTGCAACTTCAAAATACTCTGAATCTGCACCTGCTTGACAAACATGATCATCCGCCTCGAAAGGCACGAGCCCCGAAGCAGAAGTGGTGGTGGATGTAGTCTTTGGATTGGAGGCTGCCAGCTTCTCATCAAACTTTCCAGGCAGGGTTGCTCAACAAGGCAGGACAAAGACTCCCTTCTCCTCCAAGAACATCAGCCGAATACGTGCCACTCGCTCCCGCCAACGGCATAGGGATGCTGATGTGGCCCAAGTCGCCTCAGCTGTGCCGTTGATGCGTGAAACATTGTTGGATCTGTCCCTGTCCAAGACAACCTAGGAGAAAGGCAAGAATCCATGAGATCCCGAAGAGTCTCTGAACCAATGAGACCAGAGGCTGCGCCATGATCAATCAGAAGGCCATGCCGCTTCTCACCCAGCACCGTGTGGTAGCTCAGGCTTTCATAGAAATGGCAAAGGTAAAATCAAAGCGCTTGGCCACCAAAGGAGTTTTGGAGGTCCCAGTTAAAGGTTCCGACTCTTTCTCCGTCTCCGAGGGCATCTTGGAGGAGGCCTTGCTGCCTCGCTGCAAGTTGATGATGGGGCTCTCGTCGTTGTCCAAGTGACACGTCACAGTTTTGGCGGTCTTGGCAGGAGCCATTGCCTGGCCAACCCTGAAAGGCACACCAAGGGCATGCACCGTTCTGCTGCTGTGACTTCCCCTGCCCACATAATCCTCATCCATTTGCGTGCTTGTGGCTGCAGGGTTGAGATATAGCTTCTGCTGCGGTCGAAGCTCCAGCGAATCCCGGACATGGAGCATATAGTGATACTTCGGGGTAAGATTGAAAAAGGGAAGCTTCCGTCGAAAACACAAGCTTGCACACTCATGATACTTCTCTGCAAAGTTGCACAAATGGCCATGCGCAATCTGGCTTTGTCCCGGCGTGAAGAAAATACGATGCGTGGTGTAACAAAGGTGCAGGAAGTCGTTGATAGCAGCCTGCCATTGAAGAGCACATATTGCCAAATTATCCTGTAGCCATGGCTGTCCCAGGGGGTCCAAGAGAAACTTCATGATCAAGTTGCAATCTGAACCTTTCCTGGTTTGAATATTTCAGCACGAAACATGCACGATACCATTATTGCGCCAAAACGTGCCGAAGTCACAGACCAAGCTTCGTGGAAGATTCAGGCATGCAGTTCATGCTATCCCATCCAAGATTGTCCTTGGTGAAATCCTTCATGTGTGGGCTGGCCTTAAGCACGCGTCAGCAGAAGTCTGCAAAAAGCTTGTACGCATAATGTACTGTAGCAAAGATAGCAAATCAGGGACGCGACCCCACTTCGCACAATGCCCAAGTGGCACAAATGAACAATATCTGTCAAACAGAACTCTTCAGTTCCAGCACCAGGTATGGTGTGAAGAGGCGATGGGATTTCCAGGGCAGTTTGACACCCACAGTTCTTTTTTCGTCGGGCATTCGACCTGAAATCTGCATGCGGTGTGTCACGATCGTCTGCTTTACACCATGGGCAGCACAGGTTGGGAGTGCAAGTGAAGTTGCGCGCGAGGTGCAGCACACGGGCCTGCGCAGGCAAGTCGCCCTCCAGACCCAGCCATGCGAGGAAAAAGCGCTCGGAGGCAAATTCCAAGCCAGTGTAGTATGCTTGCTTGCAATGAATTTGATTGCAAGGTGCTTTGAAAGCGCATCCAGAATGGTATTCCCACCAGAGGGTTCGCACTGGCTGGGCCATCGTTCAAAAGTGGTCCCCAACTCACCTGCATGACAGCGTGTTTGCGCTGAGATGTGCCCTCACCCATGTGCAGGCGACAATGAGTGACTCGCCCCAACTCATGAGCATGATCATCGAAAACGGGGTGTCTGGGCCTGATTGCCCTAAAGTTGCTCCAAAACTGCTCCAGTGCTTCACCCACCGTTGCCAGTCATTGGTCACTATCGCCCTTGTTCCCAAAGAGCAGTTTCTGAGGAAACTTCTGAAGAATCTCGCTAGCCAGATCCCGAATAGGGATTATGTATTGCCAAGCAGCCCCCTGTCGACTGACCTGCGAAGGGGATGTACACACCGCAAGAGGAGAAAGAAACAGCGAGAAAGAGACAAAGAGAGAGAGAGAGAGAGAGTGAGAGAGAGAGAGTGTTATATCATATATATTCTAAAGAACTGTGTATATGTATATATATATATATGTATACATATTTGTATGGTATATAGATATTATACCAATATGTGTAAGCAAATATATTTGCTTACACATGTTGGTATACATATACTCACATATATATATATATATATATATATACACCAACATATATATATATATACATATGTATGTATTTTGTATATATATATATATATATATATATATATATATATATACATATACATACATAAGCGTATCAGTGTGTGTGTATATATATGTATATATATATATATATATATACACTTACATATGCATATAGATACCTGCGTACATATCCGTGTATACATAATACATCATAATACTTCTATACATACACAAGATTGTGTATGTATAGAGATATTATGTATATATTACATATATATATATATATGTATGTATGTATGTATGTATGTATGTATGTATGTATAGTCCTGATGTATACATGAGCTGGACATGACTCACTCATGAGACGACGGAAGTATATAAACGAAACTGTGTATACAGGAGCATGCACTTTCGTTTGAAAGTGTATACTTCTGTATACCAGTTCGTATGTACTTGCTGTCAGAAAGCATGAAGAAGGGTTTCAGCACCAGAGGGGCTCTTGAGTTCTTGTGGCCCTGTCGTGTTCCTTCAGAAGAGTTTTTGCTCATCACTAGAAGAGCCCGGTCTGCGCATACGCATCGCCTTTCCGCGAGGGGGCGCCCGACAGGTCTGGCCAAAGCCAAGTCAAGTGCACACTGCTGTGAACAGCACCTCTGGCAGAATCGGATCAGGTCGCTGTCTACAAGCACCACAGCAGAGACCAACACCCCAAGGCATTCTCACATGCCTTATGGGAGGAAGGCATTCAGCAAGCTTCAGGAAATTGCACGGAAATTGGTTTGATGTATCACTCACAAGATAGGACATGCCATGCAGCAGAAGTACCGAAGTGCGTCGAATGCTCCTCTCCAAGCCGAATTCAATCTTGCATTCGTCGACTGAGGTTGGCCCAGCAATTGAAGGTACAGCGCCTAGCGCCCATTGATAAAATCATAGAGTTGCGACACTGTTGCGCTTCGATGCTGGGCTCTCAGGTGAATTTGCAACTAACAGCATTTTCCATTTTCCTCAGAGTCTCCTAAGTCCCATTACCTCACGGGAGTGTTGCACGACCTCGTGAACAACAGCAACAACGAAGTTGCGTCGAAGCATAGATCTGGTTGCTTGACGCTTCTTGAGTCCGTCGCTCAGGCCAAATTGGAAGCAGCTCATCCGCCAATGCTAGCCTGGCAATCAGGACTCCTTTTCTGTGGCTGTATGTCGGTCCTTGTGTCCATGTGGTTAATAAGCACAACATCTGCAGGTACGTATTCATACTCATATTCATGTCGAAACCCTGAAACTGCCGGCTGTCAGTGCCGGGTCATGGGCGGAAATTCTTTTGGAATTCTCCTGCGCACTTGTCCGAACACTCTGCGAGCCATCTGCGAGCACCAGACCCAGATTAGCTCCCGAGATCTTCCGGCCGTCCTGGCAGCTGTTGGATATCGCTTTTCGGCCTCGGGACAGACGCAGCAAGCAGGCAATCCGCAAATCTTGTCGCAGCCTGAGCTGTCGACAGGAACTGCAGCCTGAGGCATGCCGAGCATGAAAATCGTGATCACGCCGTGGCACAAGAAATCTCTCCAGCCTGAGGATCACCCTGCAGTTGTCCGAGCAGCCGTGAGCCTTTGCCAAAGGAAGCTATACAAACGCCGTGGCACCTTTGGCCTGGGAGCCAAAGAGGCCGCGACATTGAGAAGTGACGATCTCGCAAATCCTGCGCCACAGAACCGCAATCCTGGAAATGAGCTTCAGGCCTTGAGCCATTCGGCTCCTGGTAAAGACTGGCAGCACCAGGTCCCTGGTGTTGGAACCGCAGGTCTTGCTTCGAACCTTGGCTTGTCAGGCTGCTGCTCTGCCATGCTCTGCGTGCTTTCGGCTCTTAGAGCAGGGCCAGGCGCCATGCCTGGAAAGCCTTTTCGGAAGTGGGACCTGGCTTCTTGGAGCTTCGATGACTGGACTGAAACCGGCACCTTCCCTAGGCTGGCACAGCTGCGGCGGAAAGAAAGGCTTCTCGCAAGCTTTGTTCAGTCTCGCTCGCCTGCCTTGAGAGCCATCTGTAGAAACACAATGCACCTCAGTTCTGGACAGACAGAGGACATGCACAGAGCAACCTACAAGTCCCGTGCCAGCTAAACTTGGGGCAAGCGCTGCAAGCAGAATAGACACCTGCGCCCTCAGTGAGGACGGCTGAGCCTGAGCCGAGGCAATGGTGAAGCTCAGCTGTCCCCAACACAGCACCTGTGCTATCCCATCGTTGTAGCTGGAGGTAAGGAAGGAGTTCGGACAAGGACATGTTGATGAGGCATCAAGGCTCATGACGAGGCGGACGGATCACGCTTCAAGTCTGTTCGAAGCTCGGCATGCACGAGCCGAGCTCAATTTTGGAATGTGTCTCCGTCACGAGCCATGGCCTTACCATACAGCCTGTTCTGGCGTGTCAGCATCTCAGTTTCAAGTGTGGCAAAGACTGGCAGTCATGCTGCAACATACCAGGGTCTGAGATGTCCGTTTTTACAATATTACAGCTGAAGCACTTGGCAACCAAGCCACAAAACGGTTCCACCCTTGACAGATACAGATACATTTGTACAGAGCAGCCGCGGAGCCTACAGCTCAACAATCGTATAACTGCTCTAGCCTCGCCTGCATCTCGTTGTCGTAGAGGCAGCACATGTTGATGAATTTCGCCTGCCGTGCTCTCTCTGGCGGAACTACGTACACCGCGAACAGAAAACTTGGCAGATTGCACCAAGCAGTTCACGTCCCGACAGCATCTATCTCCAATGCCTCAGCCGATATCTGCTTGGCTGAGGTAGGAAATGCTGAACCGGCCGGCAGTCAGCCAGGTGCCCAACTCGAGTGGACAGCTGCCTCCTGTCCTCGGCAACAGAGGATTGGTGCAGACCGAAATCGTAGAACACCTCACGTGCCAAAAATGCTAAGCCAGGGCTCGCAGATGCCCGAGCTCGCCACGCCAGATGTGGAGGCAAGTGTGCAGGAACCTGTTAATCCACTAGACTCGAGGAGCAGACACGGAACTAAACTTTCCCAAACTTTGGCACGCTCAGGCTTCGTCCAGTCAGCGGTGGGACGGTGGAGCGTCGACTGCCGCCTGACGGAAGGGTAAGTGTCCGAACAGAGGCAAAGTATCCAAGATTTACTCGCCACAGTAGTGCTCTTTTTGTCGACCCAGAACCAAGCCCTAGCCTTCGGAACACCACCTTTTCCGCTTCAATGATATCTTCTTTGCTCCTCCACACTGACCCCGAGCGATCCCATCAGCGAATCTTGCGAAAGTCTTTTCAGCCAAAGAACCGACTTGAAACGACACGATTGACGCAACATGCTTAGGCAGCAGGAATCTGTCATGCCAGCACATGCGAGAACCCAGTGTCCAGCTTCCACTGCAAGCATCTCTGATGTCGCCACTCCTGCAGTTGACCCCTCCCAATCCGTCGTCAGCAAAGACTCATAAAGATTCCTTTCGCCGCGGCATGCATGGTGTTAAGGGCCCATGCTGATGGATTCGAAACCCGCTCCTGTCACGCATGAAATACCTCGGCAGGCACGCTGGGCATGTAGCTTCGATCTTCCAGTTTGGACAACAGCTAGTGAATCCCCATTTTTTTGCATACTGACAGCTTTCGAAGACTTGCATTCTGCTCCGAATGTGCAGATGATACGATACTTCCGATGCCGGAGCACAAGACATGATTTCACAAATTCTACGAGAGTCTCCATGGGGTCGAGAGGCGGAGCACCAGATGATCAACTCACCTGCAATTTTGACAGGAGCATGCGCTCGGAAGTTTGCCGCAAAGCATATGGATTCTGCTAGATTAGGTGGCCTAGGGGTAGCCTAACCCCTAATCCGTCTGTTGCAACCTCTGCAAGGGTGCGAATGCCAGCAAACGGGAGAGATGCGGCAAGTTACTCGTGGCTCTTCTCCAGCATCGCGTCTGCGAGCTTGAGACAAGCAAGGGTGGCCTTCGCTGTCTGGCTCAAGGGGTCTGCAAGGCTTTGATTAAGGCATCTTTACGGTGACCCGAACCCATTCTCGGTCTGGTGCAACGCTGGCTTCTACGGATAGCGTGGATTTGCTGTACAAGGCTTACACTTACAACAGAAGATGGCACTGAAGCGAACCAACAAACAGCGATAGTGGTGTTTGCAGGTGTCCTGACTTCGCGAATTCGGATGACCAGCACAAAATCGCGTGGCTCATGCATGAATGCATGATCATGGTCATTGCGTCGCGAACCATAACGATGATGGTGATGGTGATAATGATGAGAATGGCGGTGACGACGAATGAATTCACTCATAATGTGCATGGTGCCAGTAAGGACAACGCGAGCAAACCACCACTGATACTGATGTTGCCGAAAGCAAAGAGATACTCGCCATGACACTCGTTTCGTGTACAAACCGCATGAAACCGGAGGTGAAAGATGTCAATCTTGAGGATGTTGATCGGCATGCCGGCAACGATTGAACAAGCTAGAAAGGAAAGAGTGACACATCTCAAACTGACTGACCAAGACAATGGACATGGCACACACTGTACCGGTGACACACATGGTAGCATCGTAATACTGATATTAAACTAGCATTATATGGAAACATGCAGGTAGTAGTGATGATCTCGCTCTGATTGAGACAAAGATGACGAACGCACAGAAACATCAAAACCCCAAACCCTTGATCATTAGACCATCTCCCAGACTCGAACCTTTGTTGCTGCTGTTTCCATGACCTATGCTATCGTAGCGAATCGGCCACCTAACTCTTGATTACCGCCACGTCCCGCCACGACTGGTATTACTACCTACTAAGTACCAATATTTCGGATGCTGCTGGAGAAGACCTGCTGCCGCCGCTGCGACCATTAGCAGCACGGTTGTAACCAGCTCCGACGGTTTCTATTCGGGTCCTGTTGCCCTTTTGGAAGCTGCAGTAATCTCCTCAAGCAGACGAAACAATGTGGGCGCAGGACTGGCTGCTTCAATAATCGTTTGATTGCTGGAAGCTTGCTGCGCTCGCTGGCCCTTCGAAGTGGCCAGTCTGCGGCCAGGCTGCCAGTGTAGGCTGCGGCAGCGTCGGGTCAGGGTCAGACAGCTGGTCATGGAGAAGCGCAGCCTTATGCCAGCAACTTAAGCATTCGCTTGCTGCAAGTTGCTCAGGCGGGTACTGCTAAGTGCAAGGTCTGGTCCATGAGCTGCATGTCCGTACCCAGACGTAGCAGAAGATCCACCTGGCGGTTGCGAGCCAGTCGTTGAATCGCTCCATCCTGAGATCTCTGTGCGGTGAGATGCAGTGGTGGGTGGTCAGCTTTTGATCCATCGTTGCAGCGCACGTCCTCCGCTCGGGCGTCGTCTGGGCACATGTGCACATTTTGCAGCATGAAGCCCCTGTTTCCGCCCCAGCTCACGTGGGACTTGCAGTTATTGGATGTTGCCGGACGCAACATACGCAACAGGATCGAGCATGTCCATTCGCAGCTCGCACGATTTCGCCGCGATGCCAGCGCATACCAGTGCAAAGAACTGGGCCAACAAAAAGGGCGAATTCCCTGCACTCAGCGGAAGAAACCTCGTTTCCGCTCGCGCGGTGGCGGCTCGATGGGCGCCTCTGCAGCAGCTTTGGCCACTTTGTCGAAGTCCTCATCGCCTGAGCAGAAAAATCACGACGTCGGCGCTGCGCATGGAGATAAGGCCAAGCTGCTCAGGTATCCAGGTACAACCGTCGGCCTTGGTCGAGATGTCAGCGGGGCGAATCCCGCCCCCCCAAAACATTCACAAAGCCTGCCTGGATCCCGGCTCTCCAAAGAAGTACATAGTAGGGAAGCCTGGACGTAAAGCCGCTATGACTCGAGAGCTGCATGGGGACGCCGTGACCCCGCACCTTCGACGCCGAAGCGGCGCATCACCGGGCCAAACTCCTCCACATGGGCCATGGCCCCCCGTGTCAGGCTGAAAGTAGTGGGGCGGGCAAAGCGGGCGAGCGGTCCGATGCGTCGTAGATGAAGATGCGCAGCGGTTTGTGGAGAAGCGTCGGGCCCTGGCCGAGTTCGCCATAGTTGATGCACGGATGACGAAACTTCGTCTAGTATAGAAAATTGTGCTCACCGTCATGCAAAAAGAAACTTCGATGCTCGTCTTGTGGAGTTGTGCTGAAGCATGCTCTTGTTTTCTTCTCGTGGTTTGTCGACAAATGGCGGTGCAAACATCTGCTCTGGTGTTACAGTTGATTGTGGCCGGTATTTGCTCTCAAGCCCACATTTTCGTGATCCCGTCTCGCAGGATCTGGTACGGAGCTCATGTGCTTCTCTCAACCTGCGCCCTCCGAGAGTCGTATTGGTGAGCTGGAACGCATCAACTTCGTCCTTGCCGCACCGTGATTCCTGGCCTCTGCCTCGTCTACGCCGGCCGAGGCCAAGGCATCGGCCCGTCTCTTGACCGCCTTGCACTGAGAGCCGCGAGGCATAAGCAACGGCAAAGCCGCGCAATGCCGCTTGACATGCCTGAAGGAACGGGACGTCTATACTGCCGGCCAAGTTTCGCGTTCCAAAACTGGATGCAGCTTTTCGCACCAAGGGCATCCGGGACCTGCAGTTGAGAATTGACTTCTGAGGCTCTAAAGACACTGCGTTCTGCCACATGATCGAAGTGGCGCGAGAAGACCATCACCTCGGAAAGGACAGAAACGACACGACTCGACATGTGCAACTTTCTTGAATCATGCTCAACTCTTCAATCAGGCAGGTCGCAACTTGCTCTTCTCCTGACTGAATGGCCTGAGGAACACGTCACCACATCATCATGAACGATGACTGTCGTTTTTTCAATGACAGGTAATAGTCATTGCAGCTTCACAGCACATTTCTCGCAAGTTGGACCCCACCGGCCTGGGCCATCTCAGTCCACAATGCCTGCTGCCAGCCCTCCTCTGCAGGGCCGTTGCCAGGCCTGCCAGCACGATACATGGCACGTCTTGGCAAGTCTTGGCGGGCGGTCCCGGCGCGGCCCGGCCCAGGGACCCGCCTGGGGTCGGAGACCAGCTGGACTTGGCCGTTGGGCATCAAGCGCTCCTCTCCGCTGCGAAGCTGGATCTCCTCGGCCACCTCAGAAGAGCCGAGAGCCAAAGGGCCCAAACTTCGCTCCTCTGGCGCTCGTTGCCCACCTGCGTGTCGGAGAACCGGCCCGGGAGCACCTGCTCCGAGCAGGGGCCGGCGGCACAACAGAGTGATGAGCGAGCGAGAACCCGACCAGCGGTGCCGAGAGTGCCAGCATTGCCAACAGGGCCGCCGAAATCACCCACATCGGCTTCGGGGGACCTGATTCGAACGACTGCCGGAAGTACATAATAGAGGGGATATTGTGACTTTGAAAAAGATTTAAAAAAGATTCAACGAGCGGAATGGGAGATTTCTGGCTGGGCACTATCTCTACGCTTGGCCAGGATGTAGGCCCCACCAGAGACGGCTACTCCAGGGGTTAGCACGAGGATGAGCTGAGTGAAATAGTTCCTGAGTCTGGCAGACAGGTTGATGCTCAGCATCAACTTCGTGAATGACCCGATAGTTGGCGGAAGAATGCACACTGTATGCTTGCTAAATGACATTGCCGCTGCCACCGGCGAGGCCGTATTTGCGAAGGCTTGAGCAGCCGTGGAGGCAGAGGTATGCAGCGACAGAAGTGCACCTACTGTGATGGCGGATGCCAGCGCAGTGAGTCTGCGGGAGCGCGCCTGAAAGGAAGACAGGTGTGCTAAACAAAGTCTGTGCTCTTCCACGACAAACTTCGCTCCATTCACTGCCCTGTCTGCTGCCACGATTCCATTCGGCAAGTGTGTCACAGGCTGGGGTGCTGCGATGCCGATAATCTACGTGCCGACAGTCTCATCGACAACGGTTGGATCCAAAACTCACCAGGCAGCAGGAACGGCAAGCAGTGTCGCTACAACATGCGGCGACATGTCAGCATAGCGTAACACTCGCCACAACTCCGATAAAGACATGCAGAGAAACCTCGTGCTGCCACTGAAGCACTGTACGCCTTGGAGCAGGAGAGCTGAAATGCAAGATGGGCGTGTTGCAAATCGCAGCCAGTGAAGCCTTCTTGGAGATTCACCGTTATGCATCCTTTGTGAGTACAAGTTTGAATTAGGCTAGACGCTTCGGCCCTCTTTTGCTGGTTTGCTTGTCTGCAAATCTGCTGCAGAATGCAATCTACCGGACTCCACCGATCCACTTGCACAGCGCGTGCTCGCAATAAAGCGGGATCTTTCAATGTTTGTCTCCTCTCCGAATCCTGGTGATGTGGCCGGTGGTGCTGCGTGGTGTACCACGAGCAGGGCATGCAATAGTTCTGGATTTGCGCCCTCAACTACTCTGCGAATAGGAATGCACAGAAGTTTAGGACTTCGGGGAGATGGACTCCAAAGTTTCAAGAGCAGCTGTCTCTGCAGACTTGAAATGCGGGCCTGCTGCACCTCATTCTCAAGTCTTGAAGCCCCGGATCGTGCACACAGTTTTTGCCTACAATGTCAACGTTTAGATGAGTTGAATTTGCTTGCTGTGCTTCCATCTCTGCTCGGCTAGGGTTTTGCACATGAATGCCAGTTCTTGCAAACAACGCTGAGTTGCGTGCGAGGGGAGTTTTGATACTGACGGTCGGCACATGGCATCCTGAAACATGACTGTCACAGCGCATAATGAATGCATTCTGCCATGCGTTGCCTGCCGCGCCATTTCTGCCCACAGAGGTGGCCTTGCAACCCGAACAGAACAGTTGAAGGTCGTAGTCGTTGACGGTCTGAGAGCGGGGCCACAAGGTGTCTCCGGACATTGCTCCACACACCCTCCTGAGAAAGTGGGTTCGGATCCGAAGACTTGGCAGGTCGCTGGTGCCACGTGCTCGAGGGACCTACAAGAACCAATGTCTCACCCTCCAAATTGCATTTTGGCTCCTTCTGGAGACTGGTGAGCCCTGGGAAGACTGCGTGAAGAGCTGACACCGCCTCTTTGATTCCGGGCGGAGCGGGCAGCATTCCATCTGCAGATTTGAGGGGGCAAGGACGCGGCGCCAAAGTCTGAGCCACAGCTGTGCCCGGGGTGGCCATCTGCGCATTCAGGTACGGGACACACGGGCTCAAGACGTTCTGACCCGTGCAGCCTCTTGCTGACTGCAAGGAATGTCCTGTCGCATGGATGCACGGGAGCTGTGATGTCCTATGCCGCTGCCGCTGTAACCAGATACGAGAGCTCACACTTGGTAACTCCTGGCTCCACTTCCATGAGACTTGAGATGGCCCCGACATATCAGAGGGCGACTCTTGGCTCTGCCTCCAGAGTGCATCAAAAGCAGGCCTACGCAGCTGTGTTCTTGCTGAGGGCTCTTCTGTGATTTCTGGCGCACTCGTCGACCCTCAACATCGCCGGTTTCGATGCCTGGACTGCATTTTTGCAATTTCAGTCCTTCGAGTGTGTGACTTCTGCAATTGTGGTAATGCACACTGCTCTGAAGTGTCCCTTCCGGGGTGCAGACCATCGTCAGTTCTCCACCTCCTGCACGAAACACTTGGCTGGCTATGCAAACTTGGCCGGACTGTCTACGGAGTCCGATGTCAAACCACACAAAAACTGACTGTCGGGATCTGCACTGGTTCCCCCAGCTGCAGATCTTGCCAGCTCATTCTGCATGAGAAAAGGGTTGGGGGTCAAATGAAAGGTGGGCCCTACAGAAGCAGACCATCGTGGTTGTGTGTCCAACTACTCGCACATACATTTGGGCAGTGTAGAGCCTCTGCTCAACAAGGCAAAGTGGCATGACATGCTACAAGAGGTGCATGATTCTCACGGTGCTAGCCACTACAGCCTCAGCAGCAGTAGTAGAACTAGCAGTGGTAGGGGTAGTGGTGGTAGTAGTCGTAGCAGCAGTAGCAACAGCAGTCGTAGTCGTCATGGTAGTGGTGGTCGTCGTAGTAGTAGTAGCAGTAGTAGTAGTAGTAGTAGTAGTAGTAGTAGTAGTAGTAGTAGCAGCATTAGTAGCAGTAGCAGTATCAGCCGGGGCAACGGCAGGAGAAGGAGCAGTAGGACTAGGAATAGTAGCAGTAGCAGTAAGCACAGCAGTCGCAGGAGCGGGAACAGGAGCAGTAGGAGGAGTAGTAGTAGTAGTAGTAGTAGTCGTTGTCGTCGTAGTCGCAGTAGTACTGGAAGTCGCAGTGGCAGTAGTAGGAGTGGAAGTAGTAGTAGTAGTAGTAGTAGTAGTAGTAGTAGTAGTAGTAGTAGTAGTAGTAGTAGTAGTAGTAGTGGCAGTAGTAGTAGTAGTAGTAGTAGTAGCAGTAGTAGTAGCAGCAGCAGCAGTTGCAGTCGCAGCAGCAGCAGCAGCAGCAGCAGTAGCCTTGAACGATTGCTGTGACCACCAGCTTAAGACTCCGCCATGCAGGTACATCAACCAACTCACAAAATCAAAAGGAAAACAAAGCAGGCGGACACGCGCGCGCGCACACAACCCAAAACGCATGCAAACATACATTCGCACGCAGATATATGTATTACATATATTATATATATTGTAAAACACAGACGTACGTAGTTACATGCATGCAAATATACGTACATATGTATACACAAGAACAAGCAGCACTGATTCTGCGAGCTACCCAAGACGCATTGGAAGCAGGTTCTCTCGGACAGGCTTTGCCCTGACTAAAAACATTCCAGCACAAGACAGATGCCAAACTTCGTGACACATATAACGACAAGGAGGAGAGTTAATCTATTCTGTGCCGCGACAGTGCCGGACCACATAGAAGATTGATTGCGGGCCGTCTTCTAACTCGACGACATGCACGAGGGAGCCACCTTCGTGAGGGCGTGTCGGGCTCGGACCTGGCTGTCAGAGAGCTGGGCTTCTGTCCGACATAGTGATCCTTCGATCGAGGTTCCGGCAGGGCCGTGAAGAACGTCGTCTGCAATGCGTGCTCGGCAGTGGACCTGCAAACAAACCTTGAACTTTCTTTAATCAAACCCAGGGTTCAGAATCGACGCCGACCTCTGGGCCGGGTCAAGACGTAGGAGCGAAGCAAACAGTGCCATCCCACGGGCCTCACTTGTGCTTCAACCTTGCTTCCCTACAGCAATCATTCAGAAGGGCATCTTCCAGATTCGAAACTCTTGCTCAAGTGAGGGTGCTTGGATGATCATCTAGGCAGATGACTTGGCTGGAGATGGTTTCTGCTCAATTCTGAAAGATTAGACACACTGCTTGCTGGGTGGGTGGGGGGGGTGGCATGACAAAGCTGCGGTCGGGTTCCGACGACTTGACAAGACATCACCACCCCCAAGCGTTCGGCTGCATGCCGAGCTTGTATGCAACGAGTACCACCTTCCGCCTTGCTCGGCATCAAGTTCCATCCTCCGGCCATGATCACAGCCCTCGCACCGGCTCAAGTGCTTCTAGTGGAACTGGTTGGCTCAAAACGGAGCCGGGAAAGATTTCTTCGCTTCACCGCATGCTGAGAGGCAAAGGCTTGGATGACATCTGCACTTCTGACGAAAAGTCGTTACAACTAAGTAGGCCACCTGGAGCTTCTTCGAGACGCAGCAGATTTTCTGCAATACCTTGGTCACAGAGCGTACTCGCACCGAGTTCTGAGCTCTTGGAGGTGCTAAGACAGGCACATCCTCACGGTGCTCCATCTCCTATCACCACGGCAACGGCAACGTTGTTGCAAAGGCATGGCAAGAGATCTGCAGGCTCATGCTCCTGTGCAAGCTGCTTCGCCTGCACACATCCGACACAGCCACTAAGCTGCTTTGTTGCACAGACTCTCTTGAAGTCGTCGCTGTTTTGCATGTGGCTAGGCGGACAGGCATGGAACATCGAGTCAGGCCTCCGAGCAGTCCCCGACAGCTGCTCGTGCCGTGGCACGTGTCACGGCACCCAAATCCACCGGTTTGTACATCGGAAACCTGCCGAGTCTCGAGAGACAACGCCAAGATGACATCTTTCCAAATCCAAAGCGCCTCGGAGAGAAGTTCCGGCAGCGCAGTGCCTCGGGCCAGTGGCCCGGCCTTAAATGAATGTGCATGAATCCGCATGAAAGTTGAGACACAGAGGTTCGGCTCCGGGGCACTGGCCCGGGGGTGCCCAGAAGGCGGAAGATGAGGAACAGGTGCTCGATCTGACGCGACTTGCAATACACCGCTTCGAGATGCTTCGAGGCGAAGAAGAAGAGCCTCCTCGTTTGAATCAAAAAGTGGCGTCGACAGCACTGCCTCCATCGGAAGTCGAAGGCGTGGCATTCCGTGCAAGGATGCTTGGTCATGTCTGCATTGATACACAAATTTAGGCATGCTATCGTCGCCTCTGCCAGGAGGCAGCCTGTGGCCCATATGTCGACAGCTGCTCCGTACTCCTCCTGGCCAGCGCTTGTCGTTGTTCTTCTGCACGCAGACATCTTTCTAACTTTTGTCTTCTTATATGGCCAGAGGGTGATCCGCCCTCGCGTTGGTGCGCATGCACTTCTGGCGGGGTAAAACTGGCGACTGATAGCCGCTGGTTCGCACAAGTGGCCTACAAACTTTAGCTGCTTCTCCCTGGCATTTCGCAGTAACTAGGGCAACGGGCACCTTACGATCACCAGTCGCCAAAGGGGCCACAACGATTCTCACAGAGATGCATGTCTAGCGGCTTCCCAGCTCTCTCCCGGGTATGGGGGCCCATCAAAGGAGCCGGTCTGTATCAGCCGACTCCCTCTTGCTTGCACGGGGCGTGGGGTGGGATGAGCATGTCCCCCCGGGCCCTGCGCAAATGCGCTACGACTGAAGTCCGGGTGCTGTTTGATCAGTGTGAAACTTTAGCGGGCACCGGAAACAACTGGCTTTTCAGTCGTTTTTCAAGCCCCGTTCCCTCTCTCTCTTGTCTGTCTTCGGCCCGACCCTCAAGCTTTCAGCCCACCCGCCCCCACAATGTGCTAGTGAGTGGACGGCATTGGGGCCCCAATGTACAAGCACTAACAACGAGGGATGTTCCACTGTGCTTGAAAGCCGAGAGCCCCGACCCCATACACTAAGGACCCCCAACGTGCCTCATCTCCGCGCCTCGATGGCACTCATCGGGGCTCTCATTGGGCAACTAGTTACTAGTTGAACACCCCCCATGCAGCTGTTCCAGCTGTTGCAAGAAAACTGTCAGTAGAAAAGATGCCGATTGAATTGCTCCCCCTGCCTAATGTGTGAGCTCTTCAGGGGAAGCCAGGGCACTGAATCAACTGAGGTGGTAGGCGGACCAGACATCGTCGACTAGCGACGGGAGTTGCAGCGAACTGCACAGAGACGGATTAGGCATCGTCGAGTAGCGACGGCATTAACATATATACAAGCTTCTGAAAAGGAACAATATGATACACATTATAAGTCCCCCGTCCTGAGGACATAAGTGCTTTAGGTTGTGAGGGGTCCTGTGTCAATACGGCGAAAGGGACCAACACCGTTATCAGCCAAGCTGAGCACAGACAACTACAAGCACAATTATCGAGCACTGCCTCCCCCCTCGAAATATATCCGGAACTGAACGCACGAAAATATTGCAGCAAAAGTTTTCTCCCTACAGCACTCACTGATCGTCAGAACTCGACCTTCTCGTTGTACCGGCGGATTGTCTTGACATGTGTGCTTGTGCTTGTCGAACTTGCCAGCTAAGGCTGGGGACAAGTTCCTCTATCCGAGGGTCCTCCTGGCCCCATGGCCACTGGTTGTCCGGAGCCTCGTCCTCCCCTTGTTCCTCGCGTGGCTAGCGGCTTGCTTGCTGGGCTCATGTCGAGGTCGTCTGGAGTGTCCTTTGCGGCACTTGCTTTTCTCGAATGCGATGCGGACGTCAACCCCTGCCATGTTGCTGGTCTCTGTTTCCCCCACTTCACGTCGCTGGGCCTTCACCTGGTAGGTGGGCTTGTCCTTGTGTAGTCTCTGTTCCGGTGTGGCTGAGGTGTCCGATCTCTTCCGGCGGGCAGCTCTTCGCTTCCCCCTCTTGGATCTTCCAGGCCTTCTTCAGCATAGCTTTCACTTGGTTCGGGTAGCGCATAACATGCGCTCGGTTTTCATCAGCGATCCTGGGCATGTAGCCGTCGGCGATGTGTACCAGCCGGTCTGCTTGTTCCTCCGTCCGGTACCGGTCGGACAAACGTTGGCGATATAGCATATAGTTCTCTCCATCCTCTCTTGGCTTAGGACCTCCCCCGTCTGGCTGTCTTTGTATCCTCCCTCCTCGCATGGCTCGACTGCTCAAGATATCCATAGGTCCAAGGCCTCCGGGTCATACAGCAGATGCAGACCCCCCTGTGCAACAAACGGATTCTTCTGGTGCAAGAGTGTCGTTGTGGGGTTCTCTGTTGTGACTCTTGTTGGAGCTGGTGGCGCCGGTGGGTGTGGCTGTGTCGGCCTCATGTTCACCCCGGTCACTCCATGGAGCCCTCAGTGCGTAGCCTCTCGGTGGTGGGCCTTCCGGAATCCAGGCTGACAGACTCCACCTCCATACTTGGAAAGTTTACATTTACATTCCTGCCCTTTCCGAGCAGCCATGACGTAGTTTGGCACGAGCCGGGGTCACTTTAATGAAAAGGCAGTCGAGCTTGGACTGTCTCCTCCCGGGCAATCGCGGGCACCGTCGTGGTGCTGCGCGCTCCCTCTCTCTTTCGCTCTCTGTGTCTCTGTCTGCCTGTCTGTCTCTCTGTCTATGTCTGTCTGTCTGTCGTGCGAAAGAGGAGGTTTCCCTCCCCCCCTCCCTTGGACATTGGAGTGGTAAACACTTCGGGACACGCACTCGGATCCAGGCCCGGGAACGAGGAAATGATCAAACACCTCAATCCGAGTAACAGAAAGCAGGTCCTTGATTCTCATCGCCCTCCACCCTCTGCTACTGGCATTGGTCTCAAACCAATCCTGTGCATGAAAACATGACGTAAACCCAGACAAGTATCACAGAATGATTGCCGTTCAGTGCAAAGGCACTCAAAGGAGCATTGCATCTCTCCACGATATCAGACGCATCAGAGGGACTGTGCAGCAACAGAGTGCAATGCCCGTGCACCACGCAAGTACTTTCAGCACGGAACAGATATCACCTCCAGCATTTTGCGTGTGCTGGGCCTTCTTCCACACCTCCAGGAGGGGTCGCAAGCTTCCCCCCCACGCGCAAGCGCGCCCTCGGTTAGGGGCAGGCTCTCCCTCTCCGTCATTCTCCGTCCCTCTCTCACCGCTCACAATACGGATATGTTTCAATTCAGTACACACACCACCTATAATGGACAGTGCATGTGCCTATACCAGATCTCAGTCGCTCTTTGTTGAGAGGCTGCTTTCCAGAAGGCTCACAAGTCACCCTCCCCCCACGCCACTGGGGTGCCTGCATGTGCCTGCAACATGCTAGATGCTAGATAGGTCTCACTTGAGAGCGAACATCAGGCCGGCCTAATGCCCTGAACATAATTCGATCAGGGAAACAGGGTCTGCCTACTCTCTGTTCCCGCTGGGAGCCAAGCATCCCTCCCCTGCATCTGACACTGCTTGCCTTGCGCAAGATGAGCTCTGGCGCTTTGTAGCGAAGTCTGGACTTCTGCATGCAAGGAAAGTTGAAAAGCAGGCACATACTTTGGAGCATGCGACAAGGAGCACCACGCCTCGCGGTTGGACGAGTCTCGCTGTTTGGCTTCCTCTCTTTGCGTTCACAAAGTGAAACATGGAATTGAATCCGCTTGCCCCAGGTTCCTTTGGGAGGATCTCAACATGCGCCCTTCCCTGATCCAGAGCTTTCTGGCGACCATTGCCTACATGCGTCCCCACCCCTCCACCATCCCCCACCCCCCTCGCATGGGAGTTGGTGGCAGCACACTGCGACAGGGGTACATGTTGGGATCATTCGTAGCTTGCGGCTGCCCGGCCATTTAATACAACTGTAAGCTCACCATCAAATCAGCAGTCTCCTCTGGTGAGTAGGCTCGGAGTGGAGAATCCAACGAGCGGCCATGATCCTCAGTCTCATCGGACTTTCGACACAACTGCATGAGGCCAGTCTTAGGTGCCTGTAAGTCTAGGTGCCTCGCGAGATCGCAAAGCTTCACAGCACCCGATGGTGGATCAAAAAGCACCTAGCAGCACATCAACCGCAGTTCTATGTGCCAGATGCCACTGAATCTGTGCAGAAGCTTTGTTGCAGGTGCACTATCTGAAAGAAGCGGGATGATGGAAGTATGTCGCAAACTGACAGTCCGGAAAAAGCTTTGCGCATGGACGTGTGGCAATTTCTCAGAACTTGCCACCGACCTGTCATGACTTCACACTTGTGAAATCTACAACATCACAACCGGTAGACTGCGCATAGGACAACGCAGATGACGCTTTGTAGAGACGGAGAGTGCTACGAATAATCTGTACCGCGACCCCAAGTCTGCGAGGCCAAAGGACGCCGTACCTTCTCTACTCAACGAAGAACTGCAGAAGCTCGAGAAGCGTGCTGCCTCTGATGCTGCAATGATATATGCTCTACAATCTACACTGCTCTCAACCGCCGACACTGATTTTTCCGCTGCTGAAAATTGCCCTGCTACATCAGGACTCGCAATGCAGCTAGCTTTCTATGCTTAAGACTTCCCATGACATGGCAAGGATGTCCAAGATCCACAGCCGCTGTAAGGTTTGACCTGCAGCAGATGCTGAAGATCTCAGAAGAGCTTGGCAGCGACTTCGGCTCAGAAAGCCAGATCCAGCTCAGACCTTATGCCAAGTAGTGCCACTTTGTAAACAAGATCCGCATTCGCAGGGATCGCTTTGTCTGAACCCTTGCTTCCATAGGCCAACTGGGATGGAACGTGTATGGAGGCGACCTCTCCAAGCGACATTTGCTGAACGCCTATTTCGAAACCAGGCACAAGTCTCGCTTGGTCAAAACCCAGGTGGTACTCCAGTGGACCCACATCTGTGCTGTCGATAATTCTCGTCGAGCCTGCAAGACGCAGCTCGTAGTTCAGTGTCAACCAATCACCATAGGCAGGAAATGTCTGGCCATCGCCTCCTACCAAAGACATGACGCGAACATCGCGGGGAGGAACCTTCTCGCATCTCAAAAGGGTCAGAGTGACATTAACGCTTTTGCCAGCCAGCGGATGGTTTTGGTCAACCAGCAGCGTCTGAGCATCGCGCTCCAGAACAAGTCCCATCCCTGCTCCATACCCCTCCAATGATACGACTGTGCCGATGTCAGCAGTGGAAAATTCGGACGCCGGCACAGATATCCGCCTGCTTTCATCGTAGAATCCAAACAATGGGTTGGAGCTATCCAATGTCAAACAGCGCCGCTCACCAATCTTCATCTCTTGTACCTCTTGCTCGATCTGCGGAGCCACGTCTCCTCTCCCACAGACAAACTCCAGGGCGGGATTCAGACTGATGCTGTCAAGAATGGAAGAAAGAGCAACGCTCTCCTCAAAGTCGTAGCCTCTCAAGATGCTGCCAAAATTGCTGAGGCTCTCAGGTCCGGTCGAGCACAACAAGTTCAGCAAAAACATAAACCAGGGTAAAGCCGTCCCTGCTTGCAGTCAAGGCTCTTATGCCAACCCTTACCTCAGAGCCGATTGAAACTGGGTCGTGAGCTGTCTTATACACATGACAGCATTGCTATGGTTGAAGATGATGCACATCCTGTACACATGTAGGCCCCAACAACACAGAAACACATCCCCGAAAAAACACACACACACACACACACAAACACGGACACAGACCGAGTTGCACGAAGTCCAGGACCGCCCGCCGAAGGCTGACAGGTTGTATTGGAACGTTCGCTCTGAGGAATCGCAAAGGTCCAGTAAGCAGAGCCTCATCAGGAGACACCTTCAATTCACTATGCTTACAAAAAGCATGCACAGCAGGGGAATCATTACGAGATAGGCGGTAATCGGAGTTGCGCGCTTTAAGTATAAAAAAAAGGCACTGAAGGTCTCTTGCCCAGTATCCCAGCGCAAAAGACAAGGGCAAAGCTTGCCAATACCGTCTCAAACGCTTTCGGACGAACTGCTCTTCACGAAGTCCACCACGCATTCTCGCCGGTGCTGGGGGGGCTTCTCAGGCGACCGTAGGGTAACTTGTTGTCATACCTGAAACTCTGAAACCCCTAAGTTCATGTGCAAACAACCGTGATTGAGCTAACCGTCTGCATAAGTTCCTCTTTCCCTGCTTGCATGTGCTGATTTGCATTCCCTTTCTGAAACTTCTTTCGCTTTTGCGTAGCATCGGGGTGACTCACGGACTTGCGAATAATGACCGATTCACAATGCTCAAGACATGCGGCATACTTTCGGCTTGGGCTGGAGTTTTCGACTGACTGCGTCAATGGCCACCTAAGTGCTAAGTACCCGTGCGTTGTCGCTCTGCTTTGCCACTCTCTCGGGCATGTTGAGCGCGTGTGTTGCTTTCTTTCACTCTCTGCCTCTCAGGTGCAGCAGACCTTGTCAGGCCTCGCGGAACATTGACCTACTTGTTGTTCGGGGCAGAAGCTTGCTCGAGCATGGGCTCCAGCCACACTCCGGAAATGACAGCAGACTGCACCCGGGACCCGGCAAATGACTCGCTAAAACGGCTGGTACACTAAGTCTGCACCCGTTCTGAGTACGGCACGTTGTCGGGCTTGAGGTTCCTGTGGAAGACCCCTGCGGCAGCGTCGGCAACCAGCTTCTTGCGTGAGTCTTGCACAAGGCCGGCTGTTTTAGCTACCAGCATCTTCACAATTTTCCGGCTTCGCACTGCAAGCGCCGCTTTAGACCACATGGCAGTGGTACAGGGCATTAGCATTGGCACAAGGTTGAAAGACTGACGTCTGGTCTCTAGCAATGGCTTCAGCCTTTCAAGTCTTGCTGCCAAATTGTCTAAACATCGAAAAAATTGTACGTATAATATATAAGGGGTCATCCAAGAGAGCACGGGGAACTTCCCTGGACATGGAAACATGTTATCTGCAAAGTTGCCCCGCGAGCTCAAGTCGAGCTGAAGTTTCCGTGCTGCGACGGCAAAGCATCTGCTGAGCTTTGGCAATGCTTGAACCGCTGCAGCTGGGTTCTTCTGGTGAACGACCCATCAGATTTGTCTGGCTCGATTTGTGAAGCGCAGACCGAGGTATGCAACGACCTCAGCTTGACAACAGTGCTGCAGTGCTTGCAGCAGAATCCTTGTCCCGCATGTTGCCCACAGGCATCCCAACGTGCAATTACAGGCTTCAAAGGAGGCGAAACGTAAGCGTCCTGCCCGGAGGACCGAACCTTCGACGAGAGTGAAGAAACCCTCTCCACAGACTCCGAATCCCGCGTCAGCACAAAGAAGCCCCCCTACACGCCTTGTAGAAGCAAGGCTAGAACTCCGGTCCACCACCTTGGGCCACGCACAGTTTACAAGTTCGCAACTGAGTGGTGCACATGTCATGGGGATTCGTTCTCAAGCCACCGGCTGACCGTCACGGATATCAAGGATGAAGGTTGCCCTCGCACCAGCGCTGTGGTTACAATCAAAGTGACACTTGTGATCACTTTTGTGCATCCCGCAACCCCGGCTGAGCGGCTCGCTTGGTGTACGCATGGTCTCTGAACCTCTTGAGTCTTGTAAATCAGCAGCCTGCTTCTCTTGAAATCACAGGCTGAGCACACCACAACTTGAGCAATTCACTGTTGATAGTGTCCAGCTTCGCTTCATCTGGAGGATGGAGTGCCAGGTATTCCTGGCTGGGGAGTTCGAGCATCCTTGCATACGTCGGCTGGTGCGAGTCTGACTCAGCTGCTGGCAAGGAAGCTCATGGAAACACTCCACCGAGTGAAAGAGATGCAGTCGACCTCGAGTTCCCGAATGTAGTCAGGATGGCCACGTGGCTCCGCATCTGAACTTGCTGACTTGCAAGCTGAAGGCTACACCCTCTGAGACACTTACCATCACCTCCATGAACCCTCCGTTCAGGAAGGTCTGCATCTGCATCGGCAGCCCCAGGATTCCTCCCGCCACAAGAGTCTCTACTTTCTCTTTCCCTGCAAACGATCGCAGAATCGCTGGCCTCCCATCATAAAAGCCAGTATGGAGCTGATGAAAGCACCCAGCTCCACCGGAAGGCACTGCGCAGGACACAGAGCAAATAGAAATACTCCGGAGTGCCAGGGGCAATTGTCGGATTTCAGGTTCGATTTATCGCACGTACGAGGAGACTAAGCAGGGCATGCCCTCAACACCCTGCTCGCCGAACACTATGCTGGACGGAGCCGGGGACACGCGAACACTGATGACGGGGGAATATGGGAGAGTGATCCAAGCATGGCTTTCTCTTGAAGCGTGGCCCCATCTCATCCTGGACAGTACAGCTTGCAGTCCGTGCAGTCTGAGTGCGGGACGCAGGAAATGGCAAAGCCCCAGCCCGACGCGACATAGGAAACGAGGACGAAAGGCCAAATGTACAGTGTAAACCTGCAAAGCTCTCAAGCATAAGAGGGATCAGGTGCTGCAATTTTGGATGATGGCGAACTGAGCTTGCGGCAGCAGCTGCGGAGCTGCCTAAGTTGAGTACGACAGGCCGCAGTCTCCAACTTCAGCAGGCTTTGCAGAATTTGAGTCTGAACTTTTGCTACAGCCCAGCCCACGATATAGACACAGCCAACTGCCTCTTCGTCCGAGCAAAGAAGAACAAGAAACTTATGCAGACCCCTCGCATTGCAGCAAATCGAAACATTGACACGACGTTGTGTTGCGAAAATGTCAGCTCCAATCACTTTGCTGGCATCAGCATGTCAGCCTGTTCTTAAAACGTCCATTTGGGGACTGCTGCAGCCATTCAGAGCGGAACCTTTTTGACGGTCGCAGTTGGCACCAACAGCTTTGAAGCCTGCGTGGACTCACCTGTGATCATCCGGAGCTCGTCCACAAGCCCAGCTGATACCAGAAATCCACTGCAGACTTGTGCACACGGCGACCATCTCCCATCACAAGTCATAGCTCACCTCAGCAACATGTCTCTAGACGGGACTCAGACTCACGCACCTCAGAAAAACTTGCCTTCTGCTGACTGGGTGCCAACTCTCGCTGGATTGGAGGAGCTTCCACGCAGGGCGGAGCTTTGAGAAGCTGCTCCAAAGCGGCGCCTTGATCTGAGGAGTTGAGCTTTCAACTCTCCCACTTGAAGCTTCAAACCCTCATCTCCTCGAAAGTTACCATCAGAGCATGTGATCGGCAGAGGACTTAAGCTGCGAGCCGCCGCACTGGAAGACACCCCACGTGTCTTTGAAACGGTCTCGGGCTCGAGCCTAGGACTGCGTCGAATTTCCAGTAACTGTCGACTCCGCGAGCTGTTCAGCCCAGGAACAACTTTCCGCTTCTCGTCTGCAGGAGCGGTAGCCGTCTCGCATTTGGCATCCATTAGCTTTCGCAGAAACTGGAAGTTGCCACCTCTGCTCTGCAGGAGCAGAGCAGCAGAACAACAACCAGTGCTCGGGCACACGACTGGAGCACATGTGCACGCATGGTGGCGCTCCGCACGTTCTCTCAATAGTCACTCACTCGTTCGCTCACATACCCTCAAGCCAGGCTGACAATTGACACTTCTGAGCTCCAGTCATCCATTCAACATGATGAGCAGGTCGTTCTCAGTCAAGCCCTCAGCAGCCCTCGCAGCCTGCCTGCAGAATCGTTCAATACGGGAGCACTGCACTTAAAGAAGCGGTGACTTCAACTTCCGCTGCATGGGCTGGCTTTAGGGAACATGGGCCAATCGCATGTCTGAATTGCTTTTGCAGAGCTCTCGTCCTGCCCGATACTATGAGACCAGATGTTTGTGCAGCATGACACGTCGAGGACCCTGGCAGTCCCTTGTCTCGTCTGACAAGCACTTTCACTGTCCCAAGGCGTGATGAAGTAAGACTATCAGCCTGCGCCTAACGAGGCTTGATTTCCCGTTTGCACGTCCCATCCATGTGCCAGCACACACTGTTTCTGTTCAATTGTTCGACAGGTTTGCCGACGAATCTGCCTTGACTTCAGAGCCGCCACCATACTTGGCGAGGGTAGCAGAGTGCAATGCATTGGGCGACGCTGACGCACCGACCATTTGTCGGACAAGGTGTTGCGATGTGCATCGTCTGTTCAAGGATGGAACTTTTGTCTGGCCTCTGCGCAACTGCATATCTGAGGGGTAAGGACACAGGCGGTGCAAGCTGCCGCTGGATTCTGGTTGCACAGACGGAAACATGTATGCGAGATTCCACAAGCTCCACAGACATGAGCGCCTGTCAATGCGAGCCAAACAATCGGGAAGACCGTCCTCCAGTGAGCCGCCTTATGAGCATGGCACTAAATTTCTTTTGCGTTTTTGCCAGATTTGCTTTTCGACACGACATTTAAGCTACCAGGCACATCGCCCTGAAGGCAAGCGTCCAGAAAGCGCATGGGCCGTCTCACAAAATCGTTCGAATGACCTGGCCAGAAACGCAATGGCTCAGCTAGGCTTCGCCATACTCGCATGGACTGTGACTGGTGCCTCAAAACCACAATGTGAACAGATCGTCGGGAAAGGCTTTCGGCCTGACTGCTCAACGTAGTGAGCCAATCACCGAACCTCCATTGCAGGCCTCTTCATCTTCCGCGGGCTTCAAGTCCGCACCTGTTTCGCGACATGCTCTACAAAGCTTGCAGATAAGCGAACTGGTGTTGAGACGGGTAAGCTGCGGCAAAGTCACCCAACTCGCTCAGCAAAGCCCGTCTGCAGCTTTCTTCGTACCAGCTGCTTGCACGAGAACCTCTCGCTGTCGCACGCAACCATCACACAGCGATTGTAAAGCCGATGTGGCGCCGCGGTCTTGCATATGCGTGGATAGGCCTTTTAATGGCTTGCCACGGGGAGGGTGGAAGCTATAAGGTCTGACCAAACTTTCTCTGCAGGTGTTGCACCCTCCACGATGCCTCGGACTTTGCGTTCGTCGAAGTGAAGTCGCTGAGCCCGTGGCTGTCTGCACCGTCGGCTTCCGAAATCAGCAGCTGCACTCCAGTCTCCTTCAGCAAGCGCCCAAGGGGCACCGACTCGCCGCCAGTTGCCTAGGGCGGCTCACTTCACCCATGCTTCGCCAAGGGACCTCCTATGGTATCCTATGGCGTGGTGGTACAGTGCTACAGCAACAGAATCCAGACTTTAAGGGAAGTGACACCGAAGCTGGGTCCACGAGCAAACTTCAGGAGCGCCAGCTCCAACGCCACCTTGCCCATGGCTGATCATGATCTCTCACAAGATGAGAAACTGGTGCAATCCTGTTGACAGTGTTGACAGTCGCTCGGACTCCAAACGCCTTCGCATCTTGAATGGAATCGTGGCCGCCCTCTCTTTGCAGCTTTCTCTTCAAAACAGCACTGCATAGTCCTGCAGCAACGAGGCAAGGGAATGAGACCTTGCATCCTAACAGTAACTTCCTGCGAGGCTCTGTCGACATGGCCAACCACGAGGATGAGGGTACAGAAGAACCTCAAGCTGGATTTTTCTGATGCTCGAAGGGCTTTGCCTGTTCGGCCATTTCTGACCGTCCAGAAGTAGCTACCAAAAGCCGCTTCAGGCCTGCATCACTGCGCTTGTTTCGGGTCGCTAGCTTACATCCTCACACTGCAGATCTGCCATAGATTGCCATAGGGCTCTTGACTCTTGAGAGCTGGCTTTCGATCTGCAATTTGCTTCCGGCGGTGCGCAGTGTCGATGACTCGCTCGTGAAAGAGCTGCAGGGCCTTCAGGTCGCTCCTGAGCGTGTCTGTGACGTTGCAGGAGTTTCAAAGAAACTTCTGCCTTCTGTTGGCTTCGGCCGTGAGGGTTCAAACTTCAAAGCAAGCAGCTCCAGCGAGTGGCCCACCAGGATAGATTGTTGGCTAAGCAGCTCCTGGGGTTGTGGTGGCGAGAAGCTGTAGCACATGGTAAGAAGAGTGTCAGTGTGGCAGTTCCCAGAGGTATCAACGGCAGGGTTCTGTGTGTGGAGATCAAGGCGAACACAAAATCATAAGCAAATGGTTTCGCTGGAACTGCACCTTTGGTGACCTCAGCAGCCTTAGCAGCTTCTGTTCAGGGATTTTGGGGTGGATTATCCTAGTATTGGGGCTGAGATCTTAAGATTGATGTTATCCGAGGGTGGGGGCTGGATGGTGCCGTACGCCTAAGTAGGCAAGGTATCTAACTAATTGTCCCCTCTTGGTGGATCTCCAAGAAGATGCAAGCAGATGGCGGGACGGAACGTTTCTGTTTGCGGCACTGCACCCCAGCTCCCAGGTCGCCTGTCCACTCACCAGTCACTCGCTCTCTCGAGCCGTGCTGGGCAAAAGAATCACTCAGTCCCGGCCTAACTAACTTGTCTTCCTTTGCAGAAGCTCGTTTTGCGGACCTACAAAACGAACTTGAGCGAACGCGCCTGGATACATGGACTTGACATGCTGCAGTTTGGTCCCCCCTCAGCACGCGACAAAACGTGCTACCCGTGGTTGAATTATCGTCGGTTGTTTTGCGCGGTCGCAGTCTTAGTGAAATGAGGAAACCTTGTCGCTTGTTCTTATCGACGTCTTCCTGCAGCCTCTTCTGGACATCGCAGAGCTTTACCTGACCAAGGCGCGGGATTGGCATCTGGAAGATCTATGAAGATCCTACATTTCACAGAGCTTGTGCCAGGCCCGAGACGCCTTCACCCCATCCAGCGTCTCCTGACATGTCACTCTTGAGTCTCGGTCTTAAGTGCATGAGCTGTTTGGGGACGAAGCTCAAACTTATCTTCGCAGAAAGAGGATGTCCTTTGTGATTCCACTGAATTGAGTGAGATAGTCCGTGATGGGCTGGTCTGGCTGCACAAAGCTGTCGTACAAGAGCTCATTCTCATCACCTGTCACGACTTCAAGGCTCATCGGCAGACAGCCGAGTCCTAGCACTACACAAGTAGCACTTCAACAGAGCTTTCTCTGTCTGTGTCGTAACAGCTTCGATGCTCGGCTCCTGCAGGTCGCCAGAAGCGAAGCGGCGAAGCCCCAACCCGACCGCGAGGTCCCCTTGTTAGTTTGGCCCTCCAGCTGATCGCACGTGGTCGGATGATATCGTGTGTTTTGTGCTGATTGGGATCCCCTCTTGGTTTCGTCCGCATAGCAAAAGCTGTACCTATGTGGTCTTTCGTCGTTGCTGCTTCTTGTCCTGAAGACTCTCACCAGCTTCGGAGCCTATCGCTCCAAAGCGCTGGCCGGCAAGCAGACATTGTGATCGAACAAGTGTATACTCGCGAAGTACTTAGACGCGTCCTGCTGATAAGGACTCACCTTTATGCGAGCGTTTAGGGCTGTTGGGGCTCCACAACCCCATCACCTGACCATGTTACATGTTGCTGCCTCGAAAGTAAGATGTACATAAATTCATAATGCGCACATAGACACACACTTCATGTTCGCACATGCGTGCACACCAACACAAATCCATCCATCCATCCGTGCATGCATGGATGGATGGATACTTTAGACCAGCCAATAGATACGCATACATATGCATGCAGGCAGACATACATACAAACATACATACGTACATGCATACATATCATTTACCACCCCCTTGCACAAACAGTCAACCAGCCAGCCTGCCAGCCAAACGTCTGTTTGTGCATACGTAACATGGCATAGAGTCGTATTGATATGACAAAGCATCTGTAAAATGATTGTACATGTCTGCAGTTACAGCATGCTTTCATGAACTGGACTTGTCGAGTCTGGGCACCCTGCCCACCAAGGAGACTCGCGCCAAGGAGAGTCCCGAGGATGTCCTCATGCTCAGTAGTGCTATGGCAGCTCGGGGGCTGCAGGGAGCCCGAAAGAGTCAAGGCATATTTGGGTCAAGGCAAGCAGCATGACCATTTCGCAATCTAAAGCCACCAAGTGCTTCGCCTGAGCTTTCCGATGCAACGTGACGCTCGAACGCTACACCGAGTGATGCGCTCGAAGCGAGGGCAGCGTCAAGCATGGGACGTCTGGATCGAGGTTTGCTTGCTCATCAGCGCCCTCAACCGGGGCCGGCAGCTGTCCTGCAAACGATGCGTCTCAAGAGGTCGCCGGATGCTGCGATCGCGGCAGCGATCTTAGCTCTCAGGCCACCTTGGACTTTGACAATTTGATGTCTTGCGCAAAAACGCGCATTATCTCTTCAACTACCTGCCTTCTCCCTGGTCAGACCGCTCCGGGAGGACTACCCAACCTGGCCTTCCGCCTGAGAGAATCTCAGCAGTTCCAATGTAGAATAAGTCGCACGCCATGTATGCTTTGTGCAGTCATGATGCAGCAGCTCTTGTCGGGATAGCCACTTCGATTCCGCGCTTCTTCCGACACAAGGTACTCTCTGATTGGCACTTTCGCCTCGCTCGCACCTGATCAACAGTCAAAGTTTCCGAGGCGGACCCAACCGTCCTAAGCAGAATCTGAGAGTCAAGCCCGGCTGAACTTTGGCCGGGGCTTTAGCTTTAGCCTTTTTGGCAACCGTGGGCTTGGCTCTGGCTGCCAGCAAAGAGAGCAGCATCCGTGAACCAGCCTGGCTTTGAGCTTTGACGCGCTTTCGTTGCTGAGGTGGGAGCTGCTCTACTAGTAACAATAGTATCCAGAATGATTTCCGAGGCGCGTCTGCTGCTCCCTGGTCTTTTGGGAAGTGCTCCACTTCTGAAGATGTCTTCATCGCAACCTTGTCAGCACGGATTTTTCAGACATGGCACGATAGTAGAACGGTAAAAACAGCCACGTCGCACGGTTTTTGCTGCGAAGGAGAGACGTGAGGAAAGGTGCCGATGCGGGCCGATTGAGCACGACCGTGCCTGCGTCACTTCAGGCTCCTTGTCATGCTGATCCATGCCGACATGCGAGAGGGCGAGCGCATGAATTTGTGGTTGTGAAAGGGTGAAGGTATCCCTCCAACTGCCGCTCTTCTTCTGCCTCTTGGGCACCCTGCGCTCCTTTCCTGTTCTCATGGCCGCCGCTCTCCAATCGCCCAGAAGAGCGCACTTCATTTCGAGTGCGTTGCTGCTTTCTCTATACTTTCTCACATTCTCACGCTTCTTGCAGCTGAAGCTCTCTCCAGACACGGAAGGAGAACGACTCTGCAGCATTTCACGAGGTTCATCCCCCGAACGCAGAGCCAGCGAGGGTTTTCGCCGTACCTTGCCGCATGCAACGGTGCCAGGCAATTGGTATAGCTATGGCATCCGCCGCTTTGCAGCTGAGGCCGAGTCTGCTCCTTAGCGATGTGATTCGTGATGTCTCTTTGATTTGCGCTCAACAAGTTAGCTGCAGGTCCACTATACACTGTTCTGGAAACATGATAAGCGGCGGTGAAGATACGCAGGAGCAAACTCTGAACATCTGCCAAGCCCGGGCTGTAAGAAGCGTTCACGTCCACGGCCAGGATTTGCGCCGCTTTCCGCTTCTTCTTAGGGCGAGCAGTCTCCTGGATGGTTCGGGCGAAGGAAAAATGCTGCAGTTTTTGTGGTTAGTTTGTTGCAGTCATCCAGAAAAGTCTAGGAAAACAAATCGACAACACACCAGGGATAACGCGTGGCTCTCTTGCGGCCAAAATGCCCAACCTTAGCCACGTGAACACAGGATGGGTATGCAGAAGATGCTCAAAATCTCAACACTCACAACTCCAGTCTTCCCTGACACTGCGAGCAAAGGGCCTTCCTCGACGGGCCGCTTGACGTCTCCTTTGGAATCGTCATCCGCCATGGCAATGGCTTCAGCTCACGTCTCGGATTCGAAGTTCTTAGCCTCCTCTGATCTTGGATCGGCGCTCCGCTCTTGGTCACTCTCACCGTCCTTGCAGACGTGTCATTCCTTTGCTGGCTTCCTCTTGTATCGCTTGTCACAGGTGGCGGGCAATCGAGTTTGAGCCCACTCGCGGTGCGGCACTGGGAAGGGTGGGCGAAACTCTGCAACTTACTGCCTGTGATCGCTATCTTTTTGGACAGCATGCCAACATGGATTAGGTACTCCGAAACGGCCATCATCTTGATGGGCGTGCTACTGGTTGCCTTGCAAGCAGCCTTCAGCGCTTGAAAGATTTGTTTCTGCGTCGTGCACTGCTCTACAGAACCCAAATAGTTTGGGTCTGAAGTATCAAGATGTATGGTACAGGAGCTTTCCTTCATGCGCGGCAGAAAGCTTCCTTTCAGCCCGAATTTAATGTAAGGTGCCCAGTTCACCGGGGGTCAACGTCAACCCGGTGAGCGGCGGCGGATGCGTTGCGGCTTGGGAGCCGCCGCTGTCGCAGCTGTCGCTGTCATCCTCGAGGCCGGGCAGTGGCAGTTGCAGGTTTTGGTCCAGCCGCCCTCTGGCGGGTACTTGTGCTTCCACCGCCTCAAAGCCAGAAACCAAACAAGATCGCTTCTACATGCTTCTACTCTCGTCTCCTAAAGGACAGATTGGGCTTTGCATGGCTTTGCCTTTGTAAGTCCTTTATAAGCATTCCCAGTGGCGCTTTCTGGTGTGGCGCTCGGGGACGACGATGGCAGATCCGAGGAACGGGTCGTAAGGCTCTCGGCGCCCTCCTCCGGGATCTCTGTGTTTTCTGAGATCGAAAGGTCAAAGAAATCCACGCCTGGCAACTCGGAGTCCTTGAGGTTCGGTGCACCCAAGACCCTAAGAGCATTAGCTGCAACGATCGGTGGTACAAGCCTCGAGGAAAGACAGTAGGCCAGTCGCTTGCACCAGTTATTCAGACGCTCTGTTGTTCCAGCCGGCCTGAATCTCTGGGCGAAGGGTACGTGGCAAAAGTAGGTCTTGTAGCTGCTGCCAAGATGACTTTTCACTAGGTCATGGAGCCCTTGTCGTAGGTGGGCTAGCCGTCTCGATGCCCGCCAGGCCAACCATGGTTGGGCGGGCAAAGCGGCGTCCTCCTTCTTGTGTGCATAACCTGCACCTGCATGACTTGCCCGCCAAAGGGTGCATTCGACATTGTAGAAGAGATGCCGTCCAGAAGAGTTATGACCGGCGATGATGATCTGCAGCTCGGGAAGTGGACCCTTCTGCCAGTCTAGCGGAGTGTTGGCCAAGAACCCGAAGGGCTCAAGGAATGCTTGCACTTCGCGACCGGTCAGCAGGGGAGGCAGCTCGCAAAACTCCTCCTCGTCCACTGTCCCGTTGAAGGGCATTTCAGCACAATTTCTGTAGTCTGTTCCTACTGTAGTTGTAAAGCACTCCATTCGGTTTCTATACGTCCGTGTGCAGCATAAACAACGATGGTGGTCAAGTACCATTGGCATTTCAACGGCCGTTCGTAAGAAATGCGTGAAAATACAAGCTTGGTGGGAGTTACCAATGAACTTTTTGTATCTCTCCGGGAGGCCGGAACCAGTCACAGAACCAACGCTGACGTCATGCAAGCTGTGTCATTCATGATGTAGACTACAGTTGACCACGAACTGCAGTGCCGGGCTGGGTTCCGAACAATGCAGTAGTACATGCTGACATACACGAACGTCCTGGCATGTTTGCAGAGTTCTGGCGGCACTGAAAAATTATCAGCTTAAGACTCCAGAGTCGTACTCCTCGCCATGCCTCAACAGCACCAATGTCACTACATGCCAGCCCTCAGTCCTTCCGTTCGGGCTCGGGGCCCTCCCTCTTTCTTTGTTTCTTGCTTTCTCTATCTCCCAAGCCTGCCTCACAGATACAGAACTCCAACCAAGCGTGGCAAGGATGCAGCAGCGCCCAGTCGAGGGTTTGCACCTGAGCTTTCGGCTCAGAGGCATTCCGCAGCCTTCTTGGGTCTGCGTGCTTCACTTTTGGACGGGCTGTCGCAGTAGCAGTGCAAAGACGTACTCGTCTTGACCGCGTAACGTTCAATTCAAGCTCACTGACTGCAGAGATGCTCAAAATGAACGGTTTTGGCAGGGAAGGCGACCCTCTGAGGTTCGGACTAACGTACGCCCTAAGAAGAACGAAGCTCGATTGAGCCCATGACTGGCCTCGCGCCAATACCTCGCCGTAAGCACTTGGGACTTGGGCATCAATTTGGCTACAGAGCTTCAAAGCTTCGTTCCGGTCACAGCTGTCACGCTTACGCTTGTCAGCACGCGAGGATCCCTAAGATCCTATTTACACACATTGGACGCGCAGGAAGTCTGTTGGGCGGGTGATCCACACATCCGAACGAACGGTAACCCGAACCCTTCTCCAGCCCAGGTGCATCTCTTGGTCCAGGCCTCACCGGAAGCTCCGAGTCTTTCCCTCCACCGAGTCTGCCCTGTTGAAGCTGAGCTAGCAGCTGAAGAGCTGCAAGGAATAGACGGACACCAGCAGCCTCCCAAAACGTCCCGTACCGCCGTACCCTTTCGCTTCGCTTCTTTCGAAGCAGTCTCTTAAGTGTCACCGTGGGCGCCCGGCGCCAAGGCAATCTGTACATTCAGGAAGCCAGTTGGACTCCATCTCGGGGTCTTGAACACCAGGACATCCATTACGCCTGCCAGTGCCAGTCTCAACTCTGCTCTTGTACTGTCCTTTTCAAGCCAGCCCGGCCTAAAAATCCGGCGGCAAATATCATAACCACCAGGAATAGCATTTTGATGCCCTTGGCTGCCCATGCTTGACGGCACTGGCCCCTAGACTAGATGTCCCAAGCTGCCGTGAACGGCCACGATTCAATGGTATACCGGTATACCTGTACCAATGCAAGACCAGATAGCTGTTGCGGCCGAATGTCCATGGTTCGCCAGAAAGACAACAAAGACCTGAGAGGGTCTAGTGGCGACTCTAGTACAGATTCTCGACTTGCAGCAATGCCGCAATCCAGCACGGTAGAGGATGCTACGCTAAACATAGGCCGTGCTGCTTGGCACTGCAATGCATGTCTGCATGTACAGCCTTGACAGACGTTAGATTAGTGGTACGTTCTGTCGGGCATGTCTCTGCAGCCTGACATGACTATGAAAACAAGAAGTCTTCTCTTGAGAGCTAGACGTTTGCATCGTGCGTCTCAAGTGGCCGCAGAACCTGAGCTCAAACTTCAAGTCATCCTTTGCGGAAGTCGGAGCCTGAGCATCCCGCCCAGGCTGGGTCCGCAGAAGCCCATCAGCCAGGAGTGGCTTCGACTTGTCTGCAGGAGGCTGTGCAGATCAGCACCGGTCAAACAAAGAGGCATGTCATCGCGGCACATGGCCACATGATGCCATGTGGCCAACTGCATGGCCTCGAAGAAACCCAGGGCAGATGCCGCACCGCTCCTTTGGCAACACGATAGTTGTCGCTTGCACAGTCGGAATTGTCATGCGCCTCGTCCTCAGAATCCTCACTCCCTGAGCTGGACGAGTCGCCTGTGTCGGTGGTGTCAGCCGGTCCTGCAATTCAAAGTGTGCCACTGCCGCATCCCCATACACGTGGAGATGCAAAGAGAGCCGGAAGCCTCTTCTTCGCGCGTCATCCTGCAAAGGAAGTGTGCGTCGGATAATCACAGAAAGAAGACTGTTGGCTCAACCCTCGGTTCCTTCAAAGTAAGGCCTCTGAAGGAAACCAAGTAGTTGCTGAAGGCTCGCCTCAGGATTTCGCTTTGTGGCACCGCCTAACACGCCATGTTGAAGAAAAGACAAGGCAGCTGCATGGTTATGTACGGTTGTTGCCCGGAAGATGCCTGGAGCAAGATGTGCACAAAGTTCGCTGACATGCGCGTGCTCTGGAAGTCGCTTTCTCTGAAGAGAACCCGGACTCACCAGTCCCAGCGAAGGCCTAGAGTGCTTCAGTCTGATTGCGAAAACATTCGGGGTGCCACGGACTCTCGGCTGTTTCACTTATAAGCGCGGCTCATGACTTCCTCGATTTTCCATCCCAGGCCGCGCGGACTCCGCGGAGGTTAGATTTCTCCATCTTTTTGGCGGCTTGCTCCATCCGGAGGGGCATTTTCAGAAACCTACATGTAAGTACAGAGCATCGCGCTGCTCCGCCATGGACTATGCTGGGACACATCAGTGACTTGTCGGTGCAACTTTCAACACACACACACACACACTTGTCCGCATTCTCTTCCAAACGGATACGTATGATTCGCATCTCGACATGGCGCGGCGGCCGGAGGCCAGCAGGGAACGCTTGACTCTGTCGCCCCCGCAGCACATGCCGAGTCATGGTCGCCGAAGCCGTCCATCACGTGGACACGCGGGAGATTTGCTGACGGCTCGAAATATTGATGGGCAGCGCCGAATCGGGCCGCCAAGCTTCTCAAATCTGTACGCGGAGGGCCAGTATTGCAACTCTTCTGCACAGAAGCGGAGTGTTGAAGTGTATCATTTCGGGATTTTGCCATAAGTCGGTGCAGCTGAGAATAATTATGCGTTTTACGATTTGCCCGAGGGATCGTAAGCCCATTTTGGAGGCTCCCCCGTCGCTCAGCCGATTTCTCTTGCACAGAGTGCATAGACACTATAGTATACGAGTTGACAGGAGCTTACTCAAGAGTTGGAATTTAAGCTTTGCTTGCCACTCTTCGTCAAGGCACGTCGTGCAGGTAGAGGCTGCTGTTGTGCCGGGTCTCGTACAAAGATGCTCGCCTTAGCAACGACAGCTGCACACTGCCACTGCGGCTCTGCACTCTGATACTACAACGCTGCATTGGACCTGCATTCCTACGAGTACGATCTTCAGTGTGGCTCTCCCAACTGACGAGACTGGGTGTAACCTGTGCGGTGCAATCATTGAACCATAGTGACCGGGGTCAATCTTGCGAACGCTTGCTGAAGTCAGTATAGCATTGTTTGTTTATTAGATAAGTTTGTGGTCTTATACGTTAATTTAGATTCGGATCATTTCCACGGGGAGGATTCACCAGTCTCATGCGAAAGCGGACTCTCAGATTCTGTCAGCGTCTACCGATGAGTCTGAGCTCTGGGCTTCATGATATCGCTCACAATGTCAGGTTCTGGGATCGCCCTTGTCGGTTAACGTTCTGACGACATTCGATCAATGCCATGGGCCATGGGCTCAGCTCAGCACCCCAGGCAACTTTTGAGGACCTGCAGACATTGCAGAGCGACGACGCTTCTCACTGAAGCCTACGAGTAACAGAGTTTACGTGCTTGGACACAAGCAAAGCCCATATTTCCAAGTCAGTGCAAGTGTTGTTGCTGCAGGCATCTGCAGGCATTGCAAACCCCATCAGAAGAAACACTTGTGCTGTTCGAAGTGGGCTTCTGTCACCTTTGGAGGCTGCTCGATGCTCCTTAGCTCCTTGCGGTCCTTGCGATTGTGCCCGGCGGATTGCTGTAGCTTGGGCAGAGCTTTTCCCCACCACGGAGCACAAAGCGGCACGATAGCAATAGCCCTGTGGTAGCCAATCGGCCTGGATTGGAAATTCCCCTCGTTGCCAAGGCTGCAAGTGGTGTTGGGCTGCAAGTCACAAGCCTTTCTGGTACAAGTAGGTATGACGGACAACCACATTTGGGTCCCATGACGATCCACGACGGTCATGACATGTTGCAGGCCTGCGCAAATCCGTCTGCTTCAAGTCGAACATGTGGAGGCGCAACTGCACTCCAAGCATCCTGACGGAGCATGGCAAGAATACTTTAGAAGCTCTTCCTACGTCCTCACGCCACCTTGCAGTGTTGGTGAATCATTTGGAACTCTTCGTCGTTGTCGGCCTTGTCGTAGGCACTCATTCCTGTACGAGGCTCGCCACAAGATCTTGCGCTCCTGCGAACCTTCTCACACCAAAGCATGACCTCGACGAAAGATGGTTTTTCCTTGCGGCGCGGGCAATTCGTTCCACCTGCAATCAAGCGCAAGTGCAACTTTTCAACGGAACGTCCACGGCATCATGCTTATTTCACGAGGAGGACACGCAGGCTCTACGCATCAGCTAAAGAGTGGGGGTCGGTCGTGTTCAAAACGGCTCACTGTCAATGTCAATATTCCAACGAAGACCAGACACGAATGGCTCTCGTCGCTATGCTTTGCACTGCGAGGTGAAGGGATGTGCCACAGATCAGCAACTGCCTCCGGAAAAGCGCAGCAGGTATGTCTGACATTGGAATCCTGCAGTACCAGATACACAGGATGTGTCTCATGTTTCCCGAAGACCCTAGCTTAAGTTCAAGCAAAAGGCACACGACCTTGCAAGGAGCGGAACCTTAAAAGGCAAGAAACCGCTGCTCGTGTTCTACCTGTTGGTACTTCTCCTGCAGTTGCTCTGGTCCAAATTCTGGCCGCTAAGTATATCCATCCTCAGGTTGGGGAATGCCAAACAAGACGGGATTCTGGATGGCCGCATGAGGGTCTTCTGGCAGATGACAAGAAGTAGGTCCGGTGAGGACCGAACATCCAGTCTGCTGGATTCCAATTCGCCGGCATGTCTAGACCTGCAGCTGTTGCCGTTGCACGCAGAGGAAACACGAGCGCTGCAGCAGGAAGTTGTACTCGAACAGGTTGAAACTGTTAACATTCGGCAAAGCCTCTATTGAGGTGGTGAGACTAGGGATAGGATAATAGGCGGAGCACTGTTTGTGTCGCGCTTCAGATGCTCAGGGTGGCTCTCTGAATCCTCGCAGGAACTGTTTCACTTCAAACTCTCCCTCAGGATTCTAATTCTTGCTGGTAGTTCCACAGTGTTACGTATTGGAAATGCCTGCTGTGCCGCAACCAGAACACAACCTTGTGAAGCACCGTGCTCGTCAAGATCTGACAGTGGAGATTGCGAAGCCGACGGATATGTTCATGCTGTCATACTGTGAACATCAGAAAGACGGTCGGCATGGTGGGTTTGAGAAGTTGAAGACTCCAGGGACCAACACAAGACCTGCCGTGCCATGAGTCACTACACGACCGAGCACAGGAAGCACATGGAGAGCCATCGAGACAGGGTCTGTATCAGTCAAGAGCACCCAATCGTTCTGCCCCTCCGGTCCCCTTCGGCCTCGCATGTCAAGACCCTGAGCAAGAAGGCATAAGGCCAGCACCTAAGGCTTGGAAGTGCTCCTTTGCCTGCACGGTCGGCCTCAGCCCAAACAGCTCCAATGGATGCTCCAAGCTGAAGTTTCATCACGCACTTCAGGAACCTTGCCCCATGTAGGCAAGGCGACCGCCCATTTTTTCGAGAGTTCCCAGCCTAGCAGATGAGCAGCAAATATTATCTCGCAAATTTGCAGCTGCTGCAATGTGCTGCCCATTTCTGAGACTGGCTCAGTAAGACGTCATCAAGCAAGGTGAAAAGGTCATAGCGCCTGGCCGAAGCGCAACAGGCAGAATGGAGATCTGGGAGCGGTAGCTTCACAAGAAAGGTTGACGGCTTAGCGCACGACGGCTGATGGATCACCATGACGATGGTCACACCAAGTCTTGCCCTTGAGAAACAAAGATGGGCAAGCCCTGGACACAAACTGCTCGTTGACGACTCGAGGCATCAGCATCCTCTTGAGCTGCTGGACAAGCAACAAGGAAGCTGTCGCATCCTGCCAGGGCCACAGCAGCTGTTACAGCATGGCCACAGCCAGCTGCCAGCTTGCAGCTCAAACCACAGCAATCCACAGCACAGCCATCTGTGAAAGCGAGTCCAGGCCGGAGGTGGGCTCGTCCAAGAACTTGGCATCGCTTCAAGACTCAAAGCCTTCTCTCCCTCCAAGTTTCCGTATGTGTTCGACTTGGGTGCCCGTTGGTGCCCGGCCAGAATCGTCGGGCAAGCAGCCAGCTCGATGCCCACGTTGACACGCTTCTTCCTTGGTCAGTTTGAGGTTCTCGAAACGCACTATGTTACTGTTACATGCTTCGGTGTTGCAAAGCTCTTGGGATGCTACTGGCCGCCACTCAAGCCCTCTCCAGTTCGAGTTCGGTTGCCGACCTGAATGCAACTATGAGCGAGCCTTCTCTACCGAATATTGGTCACTGCTCACGATCAATTTACATCCTGCCGAGCATGAGAGCCCATGCGTGCTTCATCCCTCAGAAGAGCACCAGCAAGTTCTGCTTTGGCTCGAGCTGCAGCACCTCGAAAGGCAACACTTATTGATGCCTACCAGTGTCATCGTCTGCCTGCAGAACATCATTCGTGATCGCCCGGAGCCTCAACAACTTGCAATATGCCAGTTTCAGTTTTTTCACCCCAGCTTCACTGAACGGTGCCGTGGCCTCGAACCGGAGGTGTGAGCCGGCATGCGCTTCGCTGCGGAGAAGAAGATGTTCTCACGGACAGTCAGCCTTCAGAGATGTTAAGCCTTGAACACGGTATGGCCTCTTTCCCAAAGCTGATGCGCCAACAGCTGTTGGTGCTGGGTTCCAGAATGGTACTGTTATCGTTCTGCCATCAGAATTTGCATACCGTCTGCCTGTTCGGTAGTAAGTATTTTTAAAGAGGATGCTGTAAACGCATGCAAAGGCTATACATCAGTAACACCGTAGCTTTTCGTTCAATAGACTGGGTTCGGCACCCTTCATGGACCACATCGTCCTGAAAGCCATCGGCAGAGCTGCACTGCGCGTCATGCCACCTACAATGCCTCTGATAAGCAAACACTACAATTTCTCTCTTGCGTAGATGCGAGCTCCATCAGCACTCGTGCTTCTCTAGAGCCAAGCTAGTCACGACTCTAACTTGTGATGAGACATCCTCTCCTGTGGGACGAAGCCGATGATCGGCTTGATCGTCTCAATGTCGATCTTCTGGCTGTTTATCAGGATGTCGCCTTCCGGAAGGACCGTTTGCTCATGGCACGGTCTTGTGTTTCAATGAAGCAGAGCTCGACGAATCTGCCTTTGACGGTCCATTTGGAGTCTGTCTTCTTCTGTGGCATGGCGGTGGCATGGAAGTGTCAGTCTCAGGTAGCTGCAGTGTGGTCACGCCTGGCCTTCCCGGTCAGAACATCAAGAAGGGTGCTCTTGCCACAGCCAGAGGGACCTCGAAAGCATGCCGCAAACACAGCCCTTTGCCTGTTCATCGCTTAAACATCCGTCCTAGCGGCCCATGATGGCCGAGAGGTGGTAAGCCTCGAAGGTGCCTGTGATCTCGTCAAGGATTGGTCTCTGCTCGCTGCCCTCAGTCAGAAGTCAAAAGGTAGTGGTGCCCTCAGCAGCCATACGTCCCAAGGCTCTCACGGCCAAAACACTGCACGAGATGCTTTTGAACTCCTAGCGAATTTCGCAAAACGCTCATATTATGCAGAGTCAAGGGTGTCACTTTGAGACGGTCCATAGATGCGGTCTGCAGCTTCTTGGTGATGCCTTAGTCTTCAACTCCGGGACATCAAGAGTTGCAATAGGAACATGCTGCTGGGAGACCGCGGAATTTGTTCTCCTCCAGTTTCTGGATGCTGAAATTCTTCAGGATCGCTTTCAAGCACCTGACGGGCAAGCTTGCCGACGCGGGCTCTTAGTTTTTTGATCTTGAGACATGGGCTTGTCGGTTGTCTTGATTCTTTCGAGATCCTCCTCCTTGGCAGGATGCAAGGATGAAGTAGCTTGCATGCGACTGAGACGGAGTTCACTGTTGCATGGAGAAGCTACTCGTCGACGCAGGCTCCGAGATTCAACATGTAGCTTATCTCGCCGGCGACATGCATTGTAAGGCTCGCACAGCCACTCTGTCCCTGTCACGGACAAACCTCTGATATAAGAAGATGCTGAAGACCAAAACGGCCTCGATAGAAGCAACAATGCACGTTGTTGATGGCAACAGCATGCCCTGCCGTATATCATGTACTGTGAGACCGTAACACTAGTCTTCTGCTCAAAAACTTCTGCAGGCAGGTCGCTGCCAGGAGCAGAAGTAAAGACATCTCCACTTGGCTGGATTTGCCCTCAGCAGGATTCCGTGTCTCCGCTTGACTCGGCTTGGGCCCCTCAGCCGCCGACCACTTTGTGACGTAAATGTCCTTCAGTCGAAAGCTTGAGGGATGAGGGATGTGTGTTTGTGTGTGTGATGCGTGGCGGTGCAAAGCCAATGATGGTGCTGATCTGCCGCCACGCGACCGTCAGTGTCAGACTGTGCCAAAGCCATTCCAGCAAAAAGAAGGAGGCGCAACCTGCACCATTTTGTTCTTCCCTGTAACTCCCCTTTCTCGTGGAAGCCGCGCCAGCAGCCTCGGCGGAACCATGGCGTCAGCCATGGGCCTGCAGTTGGAAGGCGCGCCCTTCCAATCACAAAGGCCCCATGCTCTAAAAGCGGCGTGGTCCTTCGAGCCGCAGCGCAAAAAAATTCGTCGGCAAGCAGCAGGCAACCCAACTGTCACTAGGCCTTGACATGCACTACGGCAAGGCCTCTTGCATGCAAAAATGCGACAGCCTCCAGCCTGTGTCAAGGTGGGCTGCGATGCATGGCATGCTGTAAGGAACTGCCGCCTCTCTGGTCGCAAGCAAGTCCCTCCAAGGACGGCGCAACTGCTTGAAAAAATCACGGATCTCCTGGCACAATTCCCCATGCATGCGAAAAACGGCCACGGCCACGGTGCAAAGCGTCGCAGAACATCAATGAAGCTGAGGCTCAGGAAGCGTGGGCGAGCAGGAGACCCAGAACTTAGCTGCCGGGCTTTCAGGCTATCCAAATTTCAGACCGGCCCCGACGTCCCGAGGTTCTGAGGCGCGGTCTTCGAACGATTTTGCCACTTTGGACATGACGATGTGCACCCAGTCATCTGTCACCTCTTTTCACGTCTGTACACACAAGACTTGGAGTCTGGCAGTGCTGTAGGGGCACGGCATCCACCTCCACAAGTCGCACGAAGGAGCTGTGCCGCATCCGGGCCAGGCTCTGCAAAAATGCCACCTGCTTGCAGCGACGGCTGCCAGTTCTGAAGAAACTGAACTCATGTTTTCTCATGCACTTTTGCTTGGCCTCTCGCACCACGCTTGGTACCAAACCATCATCTCGCGAGGCATTCATGTCCCTCGAAGACTCTGTCAAACCGCTGTCCATTGGCCATATGGGACTGCGCATGAGCCCCACACCGAAGATTGACACATCGAACGGCCACTTCCTCCAAAACAGTCTTAAGAGGATGCGAACCGGAACGCACCAGCAGCCCGTCCTGTCTGCGACTTCCGAGAAGTATGCCGGATCTCATAGACCCCCGAGATCTGAGCGCGGTGGCTTCAGAACGCTTCTTGACATGGAGTAGCACAGATCATCCAGGTCCACTTGGCACAAAACCTGCGTACGCAGATCTTGCTCTTCCACACTATGCGATCCATCACACCTCGATGAAAAAATCAATGTTACCGGGTAGTGATGACGATGGACAGCAGACTGGCTTGGCCGCAAGCGCAGGTGTGGCGAAGCTATATGCCACAGCTCTGTGGAATCCACAAGATGATGCCAGGCTACACAAGCCTCAAGTGTCAGCGATAAGCAACTTGAGGCGATACCATCCCTCCTTGACAAACCACCTGTGCGCTAACATCTTGCCCGGTCTCAGGTTGACAGAAGAGAAAGGAGTCAAAAGATCTCGCGAATCTGTATCTGTGCGTGTGTCTGCGTGTATCTACCTGTAGTGTATGGTCAAAGAAGAACCAGTTTCTTCAAGCCTGGCACTCGTTTGCTGCCGCTCTCCCTCTTTCGCTCCCTGCAGCTCTCTCCGGAACAACATAATGTGGGCTCCGCGCCGCAGCCGCCGGCAACATGTCCGAAGCCTTTGCGGCTCTGCTTGCACAGTGCTGGATCTCACGGCATTGCCTGATTAGTCCCGAATCCACTGTGTGGAATGTCAAGAGTCTGCAGAGAGCGCCTACTGAGATGTGCTGCACGATTCGCGAGCCGGCCTTCAGCAATGCCAGGCTTTCGACCAAGGCCACGTCGCAAAGGGTGCCTTTGCTAGACCTGTAGTCTTCGACCTGAAGGTCGGACACTTGTGCTATGACACATTATGACACCGATGGCAAATGGAGGCTTGAGCTTCCGGTTTGGGAGTTGCTCGGGTTACGTTGGAACCTCTTGCGAAATGCGTATTGGCAATGGCCGATGCGCATTGAGGTCACAGTTTGTGAAGTCACAATCGAACCGGACAGTTTTGAAACTTGAACTCTTTGAATGGCTCGTAAGACTCGGGAACGTTCTGGAAAGTGGTAGCGTATGGACAGCCGTTGCATTGATATGCATTTCAACACAGCACAAGCCCTCCGAGGAAGAGATTGCCCCCTCTGGTGTCCTCATTTCTCAGACGTCGTCGTCAAGGCTATACTGTCAGGCATCATCGATAGCGTGGTAACTATATTGTCTGGCTGTGTTTAGTCTTTCAGCATTGTGCCTCAACTTGTGTTCTACATGCATCAATCCTATATATATATACACACACACACATACATCGTACACATGTTCAACTGGGACAGTCTTACACCGTGCCATCCAGATTCTGGAATGTGAAGATCATGCGTATAGGTTGCAGGTTCCAGATTGTTCAGCCAAGTTTATACATGCTCTCAGCGGAGTGCCTGTTCTGCAGGAGTATTTGAGCCAACTCGAGGCCAAAAGTCAAAGTTGCGCGCTGCAAAGCCAGCGTACAGAACAGCTCCGGTGCCACAATGAGCACGGACCCCAGCGCCCAACCCAACGAACAGCAAGCAACAATCCGGAGAAGTTTCTGGGCGATTCTTGTTTGCGAGGGTTGGGCTCAGTTTCAAGAACCCAATAATAAGCTTGAACCGTTTGCAGGGAATCTTGGCTGGTTCTCCTTTGAACTGGCCAGGGTGCTACTTTCAGGCATTGAAAACATCCCGAGAATTTCCACTTCAACTTCACGTAACCCTTCGCTTCAGGCTCGGACGGGAGAAGGAGCTGACAGCGCAGGAAGATCTTGCCTTGGCGCGCCGAGATCCTTCGCCCTTGAGGAACTTGCCAAAGTGGTGGGTCGACACTGGGAGACATCCTAGTCGGCATCAGCTCGCGCTTTCGCTGAGCTTGCCATCTATGTGACGGGGCTTGGGACATCCTGTCGTCTTCTGAGCTGGCGGCCCGAACTTGATCGATCCATGAGGGCAGCCTCCAAGGCGAAGATTGACAGGCTTCGCCGACATAAAACTCAGAAAGCAAGTGACCCCGCCTGGTTCCAGTCGCTTCAAAGGGTGTGGCAGCCTGACGTGAACACCCAGGAGTACAGTGAAGTATAGTGATTTGTCGTCCATTAACTGGCCGGCAGGTCTTGTCAGGAGTTTCAACCTCAACAATGGCAGTCAGTCATGGGAGGCATGAGGTTTAGCTAAACAAGATCATGCCAGCGGAGCCAGCGGGTCGACCTCCTGCCGGCATCGTGAGATCGGCACCTCACGCATGTGGCAGGGCATCGACATCTAAATCAACAGGTTCTGCGGGTTGCACAAGACTTCACAGGGGCGATGTAACATGGTTGAAATTATGTAGCAGTGGCGATTCAAGTTTCGCCCAAGTCCATTGCGCATCCGCGGCAATCTACAATAGCAGCCTGTGTAAGATCGGGAACGGTTCAGGAATGTGGCGGGTGACATAGTCTGGAATGCCTGTACATGACATGTTCAAGCTAGTGTGAGACAGCGTTTCATGCACGTTCAGTCCGACCCCAACGCGACGCTCCAGCTCAACATGCAAATGATTGGTACGAAAGTGCTGGGAAACCCTGTGGACGACGAATATTTGTGTGTGTGTGTGTGTGCATGTCTATATCTATATATATATATATATATGTGTGTATAGATAGGTATATACATATACAAACATACCCACCTACGTACCTGCCTATACCTACCACCTCCCTACTAAGCTCCTAACCCTACCTGCCTGACTGCAGACCTACTTACCTACCTACCTACCGTAGGTTTTACCAACCAACCTACCAACCTCTCAACCCACCTACCTACGGCTACATGCGGACATGCACACGCAAACACACACACAGACACACAGACACACACAGACACAGACACACACACACACACGCACACACACACACACACACCCACACACACCCCCACACACACACACACACGTACACACGTACACACGTACACACACGTACACACGTACACACACGTACACACACGCACACACACGTACACACACGTACACACACGTACACACACGTACACACACGCACACACACGTGACACACGTACACACACGTACACACACGTACACGCACGTACACACACGTACACACACGTACACACACGTACACACACGTACACACACGTACACACACGTACACACACGTACACACACGTACACACACGTACACACACGCACACACACAATCACACACACACACACACGTACGTATGTACGTACGACAGGCAGAAAGACAGACAGACCGTGACAGACCCTGTTAGACTACAGATATGCGTACATACAGACATATGCTTCAAAATCTTCAAATTTACATACATGCGTACGCATGTACATACGTACATGGCACACATTACACAAAAGTCATATATGCACGCATCATATATCCATATCCTCCATCCGTGCATCCATCCATACTGTGAAAATAACACGTCCCCTTTCTCCCAGAGACTTTGCCAACAGCTTTGCCAACCTCGCTGTTGGCTCAAGACACACTTTGCTGTGTGGAGAGAAAGGCGCTGCTGAACTTCAGGGTACTTTGCGTTTCAGTCGAGTGAGCTTGCGTAACATCTACTTTAGGGTAGTTTGGTGCGCTTTCTAGTACGTTGTACTTTCGCGTGGTAGCGGAGCTGAAAGCTCCACGGAACTTTGGTAGAACGACATGGCACTAGGAGGTGAAGACAACTTTACAGGAAAGCTTCGGCTTCCCTTGCCAGAGACTTTCTCTGGGAACCCAGCAGACTGGGAAGAATGGTCATGGAACTTTAAAGCGTACATTTCGATGTTCGAGGTAGGTGCTGTGACTTTGATGGACAATGCTGAAATGCGAACGGCAGCGCAAGGTGACTTTACAGATGCTGATCTAACAGTTACTTTGGACACAGGTGATGCAGATCCGGAACAGACCGCCAACCGAGTACTTTTCTCCCGAAAACTACATTACTTGATTTCTCAACAAGTGAAAGATTCGG